GACTCTACTGTAAGTTAGAAAAATGTTTATTCGATCAGACCTCTGTGCAATTCCTAGGATATATCATTACTGAACAGGGTTTCAGTATGGATCCTGCTAAATTGGAAGCTATAATGTCCTGGCCACTTCCCCAAGGACTAAAGGCTATCCAGCGTTTTATAGGATTTGCCAACTATTATAGGAAATTTATAAAAAACTTTTCACCACTCATATCTCCCATAACGAAGTTGACAAAAAAAGGTCTACACCCTAGGGTTTGGACTCCTGAAGCCCTTAAGGCCTTCGAAACCCTCAAGAAGGCATTTGCCTCTGCTCCAGTGCTGCACCACCCTGATCCTTCTCTTCCCTTTGTTATGGAAGTAGACGCCTCGGAGTCAGGTGTGGGAGCCGTACTGTCACAGAGGTTGTCTTATGACAAACCCCTCCATCCCTGTTGTTATTTTTCTAAAAGGTTGTCTGATTCAGAGAAGAATTACGATGTTGGGAACAGGGAACTATTAGCTATTGTGTTAGCTTTTAAGGAATGGAGGTACTTATTAGAGGGTTCTAGACACAAAATTATGGTTATAACAGATCATAAGAATCTATCCTATATTGCTGATGCTAGAAGGTTATCTGCCCGGCAGGCTAGATGGTCTCTATTTCTCTCACGCTTCCAATATGTTATTACCTATAGACCTGGTTGCCGTAATGCCAAAGCTGACGCTATCTCTCGGCAGCATGAACCAGTAGAATTTGTTAACCCGACTCCTGAACCTATTGTACCTGCGTCTCAGATAATAGCTGCTACCCGTTTGGTTGTTTCTTCACCTTTCCTTAATAGTATTAAGACATACCAAACCCAGGCACCCCCTGAGACGCCGGTTGGTAAACTATACGTTGAAGCTAATGACAGAAAAAAGTTGTTAACTTTATTTCACACAGCCAAAACTGCTGGTCATCCGGGGGTTACCAAAACCTACAAGGGCCTCCTTCAACAGTTCTGGTGGCCTTCACTCAAGCGAGACGTAGTGGATTTTGTTCAGGCTTGTCAGGTCTGCACGCAATGTAAGTCCCTTAATGTGAGACCCCAGGGTTTTCTGATGCCTCTATATATATACCAAAGAAACCATGGACCCACTTATCCATGGATTTCATTGTAGACCTGCCTCTTTCTGATGGTCAGACGTTGATACTGACTGTGACGGATAGGTTCTCTAAAATGCCGCACTTCATTCCGCTTAAGAAACTGCCTTCTGCGGTTCAGTTAGCTCAGGTGTTTGCCAAAGAAGTGTTCCGATTGCATGGGGTACCTCAGGATATCGTATCTGACAGGGGCCCTCAATTTGTCTCTCGGTTCTGGAGGGGCTTTTGTGCTGAGATGGGGGTCTCCTTGTCGTTCTCTTCCTCCTATCACCCGCAATCTAATGGTGCGGCCGAACGTGCTAATCAGTCTGTGGAATTGTATTTGCGCTGCTTCACTAATGCGCACCAGGATGACTGGTCTCGCCTTCTTCCGTGGGCTGAATTTGCCAGGAATACGGTGTCTCATTCGTCTACTGGCTTAAGTCCTTTTGAGGTTGCTTATGGGTTTCGTCCTTCTGTCCTTCCCGGTGCGTTCTCCGACAAGGGAATGCCCGCCTTGGACCAGCACCTCGCCTCTTTGCGGAAGACGTGGGATCAGGTCCATGTTGCGCTGTCTCGTTCAGCAGCTGCTCAGAAAAAGTTTGCTGATCGCCGTAGGGTTGCGGCCCCTTCTTATGTTCCGGGTGATAGGGTATGGTTGTCCTCCAGGAACCTCCGTCTCAAGGTTCCCTCGATGAAATTTGCCCCCAGGTTTCTTGGTCCCTTCAAGGTGTTACGTAGGGTTAACCCCGTTTCCTACTCCCTTGATCTGCCTCCTTCCATGCGTGTCCCGAACACGTTTCACGTCTCGCTTTTGAAGCCCTTGCTGTGTAACCGGTTCTCTCGTCCCCTCGGGCGGCCCGTTTCCCCTCGAGCTGTCTCTGACGACGTGTACGAGGTGGCTGCCCTTCTCAACTCTCGTGTTTCTAGGGGTCGGCTGCAATATTTGGTGGACTGGAAGGGGTACGGCCCTGAGGAGCGGTCCTGGGTTTCGAGCTCCGATGTGCACGCTCCCTCTTTGGTCCGCTCCTTTCATGCCCGCTTTCCTTTGAAGCCTTCCGCTTCCCGCCCCCTGGGCGGTCTTCGAGGGGGGGGTAATGTCAGGTTCCCGCGGGCGGCTGCGAGGGGAGGCTGCACTCCGCTCGCAGTACTCACCCTCCAGCCGTCCGCGGTCCCCTCCGCCTCGTGGGTACGGCGAGCGGCATCCTTCCAGCCTCGGATGCCGCCCGCCGTTCCCTCCACGTCCCCCAGCGGCAGCATGCATGACGCTGCACGCTGGGAGACCGCCCAGGTTTATACACGCCGGGGTCAGTCACCTGACCCGGCGTTAAAGGCACAGTGCCTCAATCACAGTGGGAGGTCTAGATATCTCCCACGTGTGATTGTTAATTCTGATTGGAAATTATCCAATCAGAATTAACCTGATGGTTTAAATACTTACCTTTCCTGTTCCTCCCTGCCCTGTTGTGGTCTTTGCTTGCTAGTATTGCTACTTACCTTGTGTTTCTGGTTACGTACTCTCTGGCTTGTTAATCTGACTCTGTGACTTTCTCCTACCCTTTAACCTCGGCTCGTTTCACGTTATTCTGTCTTCTGGTTCCCCTTACTCGGCTTGTTTTCTGACTATTCTGTGTGTGCTTAGCCCGGCCACTCTAAGGTCCGGTACGGCACCTTTTGTGTGTGTGTGTGCCAGCGTGTTGAGTTCCCCGAATCGTGACAGATGGTACCAGAAGGTCCTTGGGGTTTGTTTAACCATAGGGGTTAAACTGTTCACAAATTGTTTAACCATTGCATCTAGGGCCGTTTAGCTCTTCTACTGTTTCCTAAATACAGCCTGAGATGAATTTGAACGTTTGTCAACACGTTTTGTCTTAGAGTGTTATTTGACTATCTCAGCCAATCAGCAGCACCCCTGTCTAAGGCTTCCTGTTTCAAGAATTGGAGAGAAATGGAAGGACAAGGGCAGAGCTAAACAGCACTGGATTCAAGTCTTTGGGATTCAATTGTTCCTCAGCGGTTTAACCCCTAAATGTAAATCGACACCAGAGACTTCCTGGCACAAAAACAACTTAATTCTGATGAAGCTCTTATGATGCCCTGAGTGTTCTTTTAACAAGGAAACAGTTTGGACAACGTTGGGAATTTTTGGCTTTCTTTAGAATCAACAGCAGCTACAGAAATATATGGAAAGTTAAACTTAAGTCTCTATATTCAGCCTAACTTACTAAATTATCCACGATACATGAAGCGGCAAAATATTAGAAACAATTTTAGTTTTACATTATGTTTGCACAATATAAATCATTGGTGGTTATACAGGTAATATATTGTCACATATTCATCCGCTTATAGAAATGTGGTTAATGACATTTACTGTCCACACAGGAAAAGTTGTGCCGAGCAGCAACCTAATCCACAGAAGGGTTAATGCTGAGCAGTAATTGTGCAAATGAAACCTGGTGTCATGTATTCATCCGCTTAGAGAAAAGTGATTAATGACATTTACTGTCCACACAGGAAAAGTTGTGCCGAGCAGCAACCTAATCCACAGAAGGGTTAATGCTGAGCAGCAATTATGCAAATGAAACCTGGTAACTGACTTTGGGGTCAAAGGCCGGTTACAGCCTATCAGAACTAAAGGAGGGGTATTTAGGCCCAGTTCTCAGCCTGCTCAGTGCCCTGTCGTGGTTTCCCTTGTGGTTGTCTGAGAGCGCGTTCCTGTTTATAGTTTTCTACCTGGTTTTTGACTTTGGCTTTGTTTATTGACTTCTCTATATTCTGGTATCCTGACTCCTGGCTTTCCTCATCGCTGTGTCCCTTTCTGTGTTCCCTGACCTCGGCTAGTATTTTTGACTATTCTTTGTACGTTAAATCCGGCCATTCTAAGGACCGGTAATACGTTACTTATTTGTCATCCGTGCTGTACAGTTCTATGTGCTGGATCAAACAGTAATCCTGACATATATATAATAAAACAATTAGAGATATAGTAATGATTAATTGTATAACATGAGCAAAGGAAGGGAGAGGCTAAATTACAGAAGAAAATAAATAAATAAAATGATTACTACAGGGAGACAAACATAACGTAAAAAGTTCACGATACTTTATATTCACAATCCACACGATTGTGCTATGTAAAAAACCCATGACCAGCATTGTCTGCAGACAGTGTTATACTGCTGCTATGACTTTCATAGAGCAGGGAATCTGTGGTTAAATGGGCATTGCATAAACTGCAATGAATAACATCTATTGTGCATTCTCTACAAACCTCACTGTTTCCCTTTAAAGTACAGTAAGCACTTCAGCCAGGTAATAGGTTACCTGGTTATCTGCAGTTAGTCATTCTTTGCCTGGCAGTGGGAGACTTTTTACATTAAAGCTAAATCCTTGTGTTGGAAGAAATTTCATCCTACCCAGGGGTGTTATTGTGAATGGAAACTGACACACTTGTCATTCTGTTTTCATCCTTGTTTCTGCATCCAGCTCACAGCGCAATAGAGTTCGCAACATGGCGTGCACAGCACCGTGCTGATCTGTCTTCCTGGAACTTGGACTACCTGACAGGTCTGTATTAAGTTTCCTAAAATTGCCGTCTGCCAGGGATATTTACTTAGGTGAGAATTGTTTGTGAATGGAAAATGAATTCCAAATTTAAGCTCAAAGTAGCCAAACTGAAAACAGAACTGACTTTGCCATAGGACTTAGGATTTAGCTATTTTGATCTCAATTTTGAAATCCACTTGGAATTCCTCAAAATTCCCACTTCAGTGAATAACCCGGACGGCGTGAGCTCTTAACTGGCTCTTTCCTGCTGGGAGCAGGAGGAGTCGTTCAGAGAAAGGAAGAATTTTTTTAAGGGAGGTGTTAGGTTACAGACACTTCATGTACTTATGGGAAGATTTACTAAGAAATGAACAGCGCACTGTGAGATTGCTGAAAATGAACATGAAACCAGCAGCTATGTGCCGAGTCCAGAGTGTTCCTTCACGTCATTTAAACAAAAAGCACACATTCCTACCCTGCAAGTTACTTCTATAGGTATGTAGACATTTTAATGTGACGCATTTCTTTCCAAGTGCAAAGTAGGGGTAGTGTTTGTTTTGTGGCAGTAAACTCCAAGTCATGATTTGCATCACTAAGCAAAGACTATAAGTCCTGCACAACATTTTCTTAAAACGTACAAACATTATAGTATATGTTTTAAAAGCCTTAAGAATCATAGACAAGAATCAAATGTTAGTTTTCTGATATATGCATACGATATTTATTTATTTCTCTTTATATAAAAAAAAATACCCACTCTACTTAAGAACACTTTTAGAAATAAATATTGAGATAGAAATATTGTGCCTACCGCATCGAAATGCCCTAATCCTGCTCAGATGCAAATTTTGTTTGTTCAAATTTTTGTCAGATCTTTAATTATGGGACCCAAAATATGTCAGTGATAGGCTGAATATCGGTTGCCAGAATGCCAGAAAAAAAAAAAATTGTTGAAAATAATTGAAAGAATAATTTGTCTTAGCTACATTTGCTTAACATAACAGAACACTAAGTGTATGTATTGTCTGGGTAGAAATGCACCTTTTAATGGGGTTGTATTTTTTGTATATATTTAGGATTTTTCTAAAGGAGTTATGAAAAAAATTCTTTCAATAGTAAAGTTTTCATGCAGCATTTTTCCCACATCTGGTTGCAATCTGTTCCTAATACTAGTCCTCTTGGCATTCCATAAACTCTCGATTCACTTTACAAACAAGAAATTAATTTTGAAAAGCTACAATAATGATACACAAAACCAATAAGCTACACTAATGATACACGGAACCATGATACACAGAACCAATAAGCTACAATAATGATACACAGAACCAATAAGCTACGCTAATGATACACAGAACCATGATACACAGAACCAATAAGCTACGATAATGATACACAGAACCAATAAGCTACGCTAAAGATACACGGAACCATGATACACAGAACCAATAAGCTACGATAATGATACACAGAACCAATAAGCTACAATAATGATACACAGAACCAATAAGCTATAAAATGATACACAGAACCTTCAAAGTTTATAAATTAATTTGTATCTAAGAGGGGACAGTCAAGCCGTGCATTACTCTTACACTTAAAGGAACACTATAGTCACCAAGACCACTTCATCTCAATGAAGTTGTCTGGGTGCAGTGTTCTTTCATTTTAACACTGCAATGTAAACCATTTGTCAGAACCTGCAATGTTCACATTGCAGAATTAAATCCACTAGTAGTGGGTCACTCCAACCACTAGAAGCGCTTCCTCCTTCTGACCGAGTAAAACTTGATCTGGTAACGGCAGCATTTGATTGGAGGAGCGCAGCATTTTACCACGCATGTGCTCGCCAATCAAGTGATTCTCTATGAGATGTATTGGATTGGACAAGATTGTGGGTGACGTTGGCATCCTTGAGATATTGTATCTTTACAAGAGTTATTGTATCTTTTTTTTTCTGATTTAATGTTAGTCCACCATGTAGATTCTGCACATAAAGTAATACCACATAAATCAAATTGTTAAAGCAGTATTGGTCTGTGCACCACTTCTGAAATGCTAACATTTCATCAATACAGTTTGCATAAAAGAAAAAAAAACTAAACACAAATACAAATGCTTAACCCCTTCACAACCGGAAAAAAATCCCCTTGAGGACCGGTGACGGTCCTGAACCGTCATAACGGAAATATTTACTCACCCGGTCGCCATCATTCCCCCTGCGGCGATCAGCGTTGCTCCCAGTGTGGAGAGACTACCTGCAGCCCAGGCAGTCTCCCCTCTGTGAATTTGGACCCCGCGGCCATGTGATTGCTCTAACAGAGCGGTCACATGGCCACAGTAGGTGTCCATGTATCTGCCTGCAGGGGGACTGTCCCCCTAATGGTGAAAAAAGTATTAAAAAGTTATAATAAAGCAGTCACAGTAAAAAAATAAAATATGTGTGTATATATATACATATATATATATATATATATATATATATATATATATATATATATATATATATATATATATATATATATATATATATATACCTATATATATATATACATATATATATGTATATATATCTTATATACATAATGTCAAACTAAGTGTATTTTTATATTTATATATACATATATTAATATAAAAATACACGTATAATTAAATTACACGCGTGTATATATATATATATATAATATATATAATAACTATATATTATAAAAGAAATAATAAGTAAATAAAAATAAACTTTTTTTAAAATAATTTTTAAAAAATTATATATGTAATTTTATTCTAACTGTATTTTGATATTAATATATATAAATATTTATATCAAAATACACTTAGAATGAAATTATATATATATCTATGTATATATAAATAAATAAAAATACAAAATATATATATCCATATACAAAATTACATAAATAATTTCATAAATATACACGTAGACTTCAAATATATAAAAATATAAATATATTTAAATTATACGTGCATATTTATGTAATATTTTTACATAATTAAGTAATTTTATTGTTTGCAATTTGAGGGACCTGCCTGACAACCCAGGCCCAAAGTCCAGAGAATTTAACTTGCTAGCACTGTATTTAACCCTGTAACTTTACATGACAACCTAACACCTGTACATGGGGGGGTACTGTTTTACTCACGAGACTTCACTGAACACAAATATTAGTGTTTTTTTTAAAACAGTAAAACAAATCACAGCGGTGACATTTTTCACACACAAACGGCACTTTCACTGATGATATCATTGTTGTGATACGTTTTACTGTTTTGAAACACTAATATTTGTGTTCAGCAAAGTCTCCCGAGTATAGCAGTACCCCTCATGTACAGGTTTTATAGTGTTTGTGAAACTTACTTTGTTACATTGAAATTTGCCTGGTTGGTTATGTTGTCTTTGAGAGCGTATGGTAGCCCAGGATTAGAATAAGAATTACCCCCATGATGGCATACCATTTGCAAAAGAAGACAACCCAAGGTATTGCAAATGGGGTATGTCCAGTCTTTTTTAGTAGCCACTTAGTTACAAACACTGGCCAAAGTTAGCATTCATAATTGTGTTTTGCATTTTTAACACACAAACAAATATAAATGCTAAATTTGGCCAGTGTTTGTGAATAAGTGGCTACTAAAAAAAGACTGGACATACCCCATATTGAATACCCTGGGTTGTCTACTTTAAAAAAAATATGTACATGTTGGGTGTGATTCAGAGATTTATGACAGATAACAGTGTTACAATGTCACTATTGACACATTTTAAACCGCAATTTCCTACTTGTACTTATAGCCCTATATCTTGAAGGAAAAAAAAAGCATGTAAACACTGGGTGTTTTTAACCCCTTCAGACCGGAGGACGTACTATTACGCCCTATTTTAGGTGGCTCTAAACGCCGCCGTGCGTAATAGTACGCCCTCCGGTTTTTGTTTACTTACCCGATCGCCGGCGGTCCCACACCGGCGATTGCGGTTGGGGGGACTCCCAGGGAGCCCCACGCGGCACATCTTCTCTCGTGCAGCCACCCCGGCCATGTGAGAGTGAGGTCCTTGCGACCTCACAATCACATGGCCGGGTTAGCTGCCTGCTGTACTGCCAGCAGGGGGACTGCCTGTAATGACAGGTAGTCCCCCTGCAGGCTGGAAATAAAAATCAAATAAAAGTTAATAAAGTGTAAAAAAAAATAAAAAAAAAATATATATATATATATATATATATATATATACACACACACTTAGATCATAAGTATATATATATATATATATATACACATATACATACACACACATACACTGTCTAGGTGTATTTTACTATTAATATATATATAATTATATATATATCTATATATTAATATCACATTACACGTAGACTGATACTGATTAAATATATATACATAATTATTGTTATATATATATATTTATATCTAATAAAAAAAAATTGTAAATACGTTAAAAAATAAAATTAAAAAAATAATTAAAAATAAATAATTAAAAAATATATAGATGTATGTTATTTCGTTCTAACTGTATTGTGATATTAATACATATATTTATATCAAAATACACGTAGAATGAAATAATATATATATCTATATACATAAATATATACATATATATCACTATATATATATACCTATATATAAATAAAAATATATTTTTTAAAAATTATATATATATATATATATATACATATATATATACAAATATTAATTCTACATATATAATTTATGTAATATTTTTACATAATTAGGTATCTTAATTAATTACAATTAGCGGGACCTACCTGACAACCCACGCCAAAAGTAAAGGGAATTTAATTTGTTAGCACTGTATTTAACCCTATAACTTTCCAAGACACCATAAAACCTATACATGGGGGGTACTGTTCTACTCGGGAGACTTCGCTGAACACAAATATTAGTGTTCCAAAACAGTAAAATGTATTACAACGATGATATCGCCAGTAAAAGTGACGTTTTTTGCATGTTTCACGCACAAACAGCACTTACACGGACGATATTATTGCTGCGATACTTTTTACTGTTTTGAAACACAAATATTTGTGTTCAGCGAAGTCTCCCGAGTACAACAGTACATCTCATGTACAGGTTTTATGCTGTTTTCAAAAGTTACAGCATTAAATATAAGGCTTGTGTTTCATTTTTTTCACATTAAAATTCGCCAGATTGGTTAGGTTGCCTTTGAGACCCTATGGTAGCCCAAGAATGAAAATTAACCCTATGATGGCATACCATTTGCAAAAGAAGACAACCCAAGGTATTGCAAACGGGGTATGTCCAGTCTTTTTTGTAGCCACTTAGTCACAGACACTGGCCAAAATTGGCGGGTTTTTTGCATTTTTCACACACAAACAAATACTAACGCTAACTTTGGCCAGTGTTTGTGATCAAATGGCTACTAAAAAAGACTGGACATACCCCATTTGCAATACCTTGGGTTGTCTACTATTGCAAATGGTATGCCATTATGGGTGTAAATTTCATTCCTGGGCTACTATACAGTCTCAAAGGCAACATAACCTATCTGGCAAATTTCAATTTCAAATGTAACGTGCTATATTTGACCCTGTAACTTCCCAAAACGCCATAAAACCTGTACATAGGGGGTACTGTTTTACACATGAGACTTTGCTGAATACAAATATGTGTATTTTATTGCAGTAAAAGCAAACAGTATTATGACAGTTAAAATGCCATGTAGAACTAAAAAAAAAAAAGAATTCTTATTTTCTCCCATTTTTTTCATATTAAATTATGTTTCACAGCTAAATATTTGATATTAAATAAAAGCCCCTGAATAAAATGATATATAATAAGGGTGGGTGCATTTACTATGAAAGAGGTGAATTACGATTGGACAGACATGTAGCGCAAATGCCAGGTTTTGTTTACATTTTGTTTTGTTCACAACGTGTACATTTGGCTCCGTCCTTAAGGGGTTAAACTCAGGACAAAATTTTAAATCTATTTAGCAGTTTTTTTTTCATTAGCTAAGTAAAAGATTTTTCAAGTAAAAGTCAAAAAACATGGTTTGTTTTTAAATATTTTCACCATATTTATTATTATTTTTTAAAGTAAATTATATGACATGATACAAATAATGGTATTTAAAGAAAGCCCTTCTAGTCCTGAAAAAAACAATATATCATTTGTATCGGAACAGTAAACGAGAGAGAAGAAAATTGCAGCTAAACACAAACACCACAAAAGTGTTAAAACAGCCCTGGTCCTTAACGTACAACATGGCCAAAACAGTCCAGTCCTTAAGGGGTTAAAATTCATCATGCATGGGTTATCGATGTCAGGAAAAAGACTATAAAGAATGTGTTAACTGCATGAAATATCAGAGATACTTATTGGTTAACAAGGTGCTTAAAATCACAGCAAAATATGGTTCCTTTACATATACATAGGGATTAAAGAGAGAGCGCAGGTTATTACTATATATATTGAGGCTGATGTGTACTGTAGTCGTTGCTGCTGCCCAGGAGTGATGGGAGTGAGCGCAGGACTTATCTTTCTGTATTTGTATTCACTAAACAATGAATGGCGACCGAATGGAAGCCAAGTGTTGTTCGATTGTCACAATTCATTCTTTTTAACCAAGTGTGACCCATTCGGCTATTTATGAGAGGCAGATTTGATTATTTCAACAGATTTGCACTTCTAGCAATTCAGTTGTCTGTGGAAATAAGTAAAATTTCCATATAACATGGATGATTAAGCTATCTGTAAACTGCTGAACTGCAAATGTATTACCAATCTTATTTCCCTCATTCAGATCAGGAGGATTGTTTCAATAAAATTCTCACCCCCCCTAATACTAACCACCATCCCAGTATCTCTATAATGATACTCAGCTTTAAATCTCACCAAAACCTATTCATAACTTAAGTCGTGTCCTTTTTTTTTTTTTCTTGTAGCAGTGAAATGTGATTGAGCCATTTGCAAATTAACCGTAATAGTGAATTTCAGTGAATATAGGCCCATTAGTATGAAATAATAACAGTAGTGCAAGTACAATGACATGTTACTAAGTAACTATCTCTGAAATAAATGCCACATTTTCATCATGCTAGTGGAAACTGGCAGTCTCATTTATTTTCATGTATTTGTCTAAATGTCTTGTCTTGAAATATCTTGTGCTTAAAATAAAACTCAAAGTGAATGAACCTGGGAATAAGAACTACAGAAAAGGTAGATACATTGAATAGAGTTCCCACTGAAGGAGCAAAGGCTAGCACAGTACAGTGATTCCGGAATGCTTGGAATTTAATGTAAATGTGCACATGCTTAAGAACTAATAGGCAAAATCACTTTTTTAATAAGCTGCTTTTTATCAGCCTTCACAATCTATTTTTCAAAGTTGAATCTCATATATATGGGATATGTAGACTCATAAACACCACCTAGCAATCATAGCAACTTGTCTTTCCTCTTTTCCTTTTATTGTTTAGACCAGGGGTTCCCTGGTACTACCCCTACCATTCCAGGATTTAGGGATTACCTGGTTGTGTCTACGGTGGGTTTTTTTTCTTTCTAAAAAAAAATAAAAAAAAATGACAGAACTATGGTAATCTCTAACTCCTGGACTGTTAGGGGGGACTTGAGGACTGGGTTGGGAACCACTGGTTTAGACCAGATATAGGGCTATTTGGGACTATGTATTCTATGATAGGTGATAATTGAATTATCCTAAATGCAACAGTTTTATTTTTAATTATCAGTTTGGTTTTTCAATACATTTGCAGTTTAAACCACTGTAAAAGAACCACTATGTTTGTCATTAACTCTTTATGATTTAATTTAATTCCTCTATATTACAAAGAAGCACAGGTCTCTCTGGTCTTAAAAATAGATACATGTATGCCAGTTGGGAACTCCACTCAGTGGCAGTAATCAGTGAATGCACCCGATGAACCCAACTTGGCTAGCCTCTCAGAAACCCAATAAACATAAAAAAATGGATGTGAGCATTCCAGGAGGATGTAAGTTACCGACTTTAATTTGAAGTTAGGTACACAGCCACGCAATGCGGCCTTTGTTAAATCTAAATTCACCTTCACACCATAACATTCTCTTCCTTCCAAGCTGGATGACTTTGCCACCCCTTTTTGGTGATCTCTTAGCCATCATTGTATTTTATTTTGCTGCCCATCACGTGCCTTGTCTGCCATCCCATGCTCCTATCACATACCATATGCATCTGCCATCCATCTATATACTCACTTTTTCTCCCATGCCATGCTGCATTTTCCATGGCTGACCCTGCCTCCTCAAGATTGATGATCTTAGCCAATCCAATGCTTGCCTATGAGGCTATGCCAATCAGATAGTCACTATGAAATAGCTGTGACTAGTTGGAAGTGCCTCTATTGGCTGTCAGTGTGACAGTCACTAGAGGCATTTTAACCCTGCAATGTCAGCAATATCTAATTTAATTAGGTTTTTGTTTTGCAGGGTGAAAACAAAAACAGTAAGTACAGTTAGCATGTCAGCCAAGCATACAGCACCTCTACAGACATCTTAGTAGTAAAATACACAACACAAGGACTATTTGATTACATTGTAGAGCCTTTGTCTAACAGTATTTCATGCGAACTGCATGTCACAAGAGGCATCATCTCAATATGGTTAGGTTCTTGTGCCTTAACAAGTTCAGCATTAGACCTCACAGCAATGCATATGAGATACAATTGAGAGAAATACCAACAACAAACAGGGAGGGACAAAAAAAATAAATAAGGAAATGAAAGTAACATTGAACATTAATGCAGAACATCAGTGACCCCTAAGGACTGCCAGGAGGAAGGAGATAATACCAATTGTGAATGTGTGCCGGTTCGCAGGGTGAGGTGGAAACGCGAAGCAGCATTCAGCTTCTGGCAGTATGTATGTCACTGTGTATGGTTATGTGTGTATTGGTTGGGTTCGCTTTTAGCCAGCATTCCCATTTCCTGTAATAAGCTGCTTTTTATCCCTCTTACTCTGAAAGCTAACTTTTCTAGCTCGCTTGTGGCTACTAGTCTGTCTGTAACTTCCAGTATGGTAGGTGGGGTGGTCCCCCTCCAAAGGCAAGCAATGTTTATCTTAGTGGCCAGCAAAAGGTGAATAAGCACTACCTTGTTATGCACTGAGTCTAAATTTGGGATTATGTGGAGCAGGTAGCATGCTAGTTGAAAGGCTAAAGTGGTCTTGGTAATGAGCGAGGGCCCTAAAGCTAAATTTTGTGATAATCTCATGCCCCTGAATTATGTCTCTCATTTTCCTATATTCCTGCAATGGTGTTTTCTATACAAAAAAATAAAAAATGAGGCTAATTGTCTTGAGATGTTGTACACTGCATTGTAATACCATTGTTTTGTATGGAACTTTACTGTGCCTTTTTACTACATTGTGTATTCTTAAACTTCTTCATTCTAATAAAAAGAAATTGATAAAAAAAAAAAAAGTGGTCTTGGTAATGTTTTGAAATGAAAATGTTTCCTCCACCTTTGACCAATATGTTGATAATTTGGGACATTCCCAGAATATGTGAGTGAAGGATCCCGTTCCCGCCCCACATGTCCAACATAGAGGGGATGCAGTACTGTAGATCCTATCTAGCTTTTGTGGTACCATGTACCATCGCATTAAGATCTTGCAGTAGGCCTCCCAATGATAAAGACTACCTGAAGACGATTTTGTTGTCCTCACGCATTGTATCCAATCGGACAAGGGTAGCTCTATACCCAGTTCCTTTTCCCATTGCGTCATGTAAGGCATCGTCTCTGATGCATTCATGTTATGGAAGGCGTTGTAGCAAAGTCATAATGCCTTGGTGAGGGTGTGAGTGGTCGTGCAACTGTGACCTATCGGTGTAAGGTGCGATGTCATCCCAGGTGTAATTTTATGTGTTTCAATTATATGTTTAATGCGGAGATATGTGAATATTTCTCCAGATGAAAGTTGAAGTTCTGTTTGCAGGGTTGGGAAATGTTTCATCCCTACTGCACTGTAGAGTGAGCCCACTCTTAGCCGACCATCTTTTGACCAGTTGTCCAGCCTAATATCCTGTGCTAGAGTGCCCAATGTGCTGAGAGGAGCCAAGGAGAGAAGGCTGTCCGTCCCCATCAGGGGTCGTGCCCACCTCTGCCCGCCTGTGGTCAGAAATGTTGTGCTTGGTAGGCAGTTGGATTCCCTATTACTGGGTATGGAGAAGGACTACAATATTCCTTTAATTTTGTGAGAACAGATGCATGCGTCATCCAGTGGGAGCCACACTGGGGATATGTTAGTTTTTATAATTGTTAATCCTTGAGCTACCACTGTGGCTGTGTAATATGTTGCAATGTGTGGAATTCCCAATAAAACTTCGTAATTTCGCAGCCACGTTAATTTCTTCCAAACGTGGGCGTTAAGTGTAGATTGGAATTTACGTATCAGGCCATTCGGTAAGGCAATTGGAATTGTGCGAAAAAGATAAAGAATGTGAGACAGTGCCATTATCTTAATAGTGTCTATTCTGCCAAGCCATTATATGTCTAGTTCTCTCCAGGTATCCAACTGAGTGTGTAGTTTGTTTGTGAGGGCTTTATGATTTTCCTGGATCAAGGAGGGCATTGGAAATGCAATGTTTTACAATACAAGGTTAAAACAAAGAGGACATGGTGATGATGTGGTCTAGGTGCCTTAATGCTGTGAATCTGCAGTTCTATTGCCATTTAAGGTGTGTGTACAAACTGATATATATCTGTTTGACTGGATGTTTATTTCCATCAATTCTTCCAATTGTACCTTTTCCGTTTGTCAATTTTAATTAAAAACTTTTTTTTTTTTTTTTTTTTTTAAATCAGCAAGTTGTGCAGATTTATGGGCACCTAATATAGGATTAAAAGAGATTTTGTCTCTTAAATTTAGCAAGAGGGAAATCAAGGACAATTAAATTATGCAAATATAAAGATTATGTAATGAGCCTATATATTAATAGCAGGAAGGAAATTATGACTAGATGAATATAATGGATACTTTTATAAATAGCAACAGCAATACCATACCAATTAAAGTATTTAAAAAGATAATAGAAGTATATACTAAGAGATATACCACTGCCTCCTATATAAATGTTAACCAGAGAAGTGTTGGCAACTTTAGGTCTGAGGAGCAAATACACACAAGTAGTCTTTTTTGCACATCTAACTCAGATTTCAGTGTGGATGGTCACACTCACCCAATATATGTAGCATTCAATACATATATATGTATATACATATTTATATTTGTGGTGTGGACCATAAGTTGATAGAATGTTGAATGTGAGTAACTCAAAAACCAACAAATTGAATATTACAAAGTCGGTTGTGGTGTTCCAATACCGACGCATGGTTAAGCCTGCAAACATATTAAATGGTAAACTTTATTAAATTACCATATCACTGATTTACAAGGCAATAGTGTGGAAATGCTTGTCTAATTTCTTTCTCTGGCTGGCATATATATCATCAATAGACTGAAGATTTCCATTAATAAAAAGGTATTTTAATGATGTGAGTAAGAATATTATGGCTTGATGCAGCAGTTGCTGCCCCCAAGCGAAACGAGTGACCTGAGAAAGAAGGATTAAGACCTAACCTAACTAAGAGAGTCCTGATGTATAGAATACATTTTTAAGTTGTAAGAGAATTCCCATGCAACGTTAGCAGCGGAGAAATAGGGGGTTGTTATGTAAGCAATTTAGCGAGTTTGTCTAGTACCTTTACTGGACACCAATTAGTATCTGATGGGTAAAATGGGGGGGGGGGGGTACTTGGCCAAATTTGGTTTGTTTGATCATGTTGTAAGCTAATTTTAATGAAAGATTGCAAAAACTGGTAAAAGCAACCAGAGTTTTGATAGAAAACTAATTTATTCTGCGAAAGTCAGCAACACATTTTATAAATAACTTATATGCTCTGTTACACGATTTGTTTTGTGTTTTCTGACAATCCTGCTTTTTACTTTAAGACAAGGGTAGGTTTAGTCTATGGTTAGTTCCTGGAAATCTGGGGGTATAGTATTATGTTTTTCTATTGTAAGAAAGTTGTCTAAATAGTGTATCACCACTGGGCATCTGCATTTATTAAGGAGGAGCTACTTTTAGATCCAAACGTTGCCTTGTAGCAAAGAAATACTGTTTTCCCACTTAACCCCATGCTAATGCCACAGGGAAGGAAGTATGGGAAGCAGTATAAATGCATTGGATATGTCAGATTTACTTAACCATGCTCCTTGTCCTCTGTCAATGATTGCTTTTATAGTGTCATCTATTTTGGAGTATTGTAACAAAAAGTCTTCTGAGGGTATGAGAGAGTTTAAGCTAGGTGTAGTAGAAAAATAAGGAGCAGAGAAATTGAAAATCAATCTTTTTTTTTAATTATTGAGTTTACAGGTTACGATGGCAAGAGGACTAGTCCTTTAATTGGAAATATTTGGTTTTTTGAATGGCCCTATCATGAAGCCTTGGTCAATTTCTTTAGTAAGCAGCTGATTAAGATTCTGGGCACCTTTGGTTGCTCACTGGGATTCTTACATTCAAATGTACCTGTAGGGGAGGGAAACTAAACCTGTATGGAAACCCAAAGAGAATCAGGAATTCAAAAATTCCACTAGATAAGGTGAGGGGTGATCCATTAAATAAGGGTTTAGTACATCAAAGAGATAGTTTGTGCTTGTGCCCTAAAATACAAAGAACAAATGTGAAGCAGCCTACAGGCGCTGAACTTACAACTCCCTGTGTTAATATTACTATTGCATACTTGTGCTTTCCCAGGAAAATGAAGGGTCTCCTTAATGTATCCTTCTACTCTCTTCCGGCTGGTCTGAACATATTATCTGTAGAAGTCTGACTGGTGGAGGGAAGACTGACTTCATTTGGGCATACATTAGTGGAATGGGAGGAGGATGTATATATTGAACAAACTGGAACCTTGAACCCGACAAAGTGACGGGAAAAAGGTTTGGTGTCTTAACAGGCCCTAGTCTGTCTGGATGTTAAACTGGGCCAATGCTGCTGCTGCCTTAAGCATCTCTAAAGAGACCAAAAACTAATTTGGGGATATTTAATTTCTTATTAAGCCTAGGGTCCCAAACATATACGATTTGTTGTCTACTACATTTTGTGATGCTTTGAGTGACACCAATATCACATCTTTCCCCTCCAAGATGTCTTTCCTAATACTTAGAGCGACTTGGTGTGCTGGAGTGATAAACATAAACATGAAGTTACTTTGTAATATTACTTAACATTTCAGATGCATGTTTATTCCCCACTTGCATTCCAGATGTTTGAGCTGCTGTTCACACAATACTTTGCCAGCAGCAGTAGAGCCATGCGATCGTATGCCAAAGATCAGTTCAGTATAAGAGATTTTTCTGCGGGTGTTTTCTTCAGACCCAAAGCGTCTCTGTAACGAAAATATGCAAAGGCTTCAGGTAGTGACTGCTCGAATTGCTGCGAGCTGACCTGGGGGTGAAGAGGAAGGTAGTTTTGACTTACCTGAACCTGTCTCTCAGGGCATTTTGTATCTTTGAAATTCTTTTTCACGGGGGAAAGGGGGTGACAATGCCACTTTAAAATTGGCTGTGTACATATTTCTTATACAGGATAACGTCACATTATTTAGCAATTTGAGAGTTGTGGCTAAAGCTTCCAGAAGCTAGTGGATCACTGTACTTCATGTTCTAATTTACAGCTGACACCATGGTAATGTTAAAGTATTTTTCTTTAATCATAAAAGATAAAGTGGGATTTATTTGCTAATTTTAAAATTGTGAATTAAAACAAAACTGCAATTAGGCATAAACTGCTGATTTGGGGAAAGGGGGTTCGTGGTTAAGAGGCGTGGCTAAGGAGTCAGGATTATGAAGCAGAATTTCTTTTTTTTTTTAACATGACGGTTATAGATAAATACAACATGTATGTGCAGTAAAACTCCCAAGTTATATTGGTGCCCACAATGTCCCTTTAAACCTGTCTTGTAAAATTGACAGCTGTACTTTAAAAACATTAATATATCACATATAGATTGTGAGCCAAATTTCTAGTAAATGTATGAAGAAACAAAAAGGCAGTATTAATATTTTACAGTTTCATCTCAGTATGTACATTATAGCGTCATTAATTACAGCTGTGCCATTCACAGAAAGGTGTGCACCCCCACGTTCACTCATCAGTAGGGATGCACCGAAATGAAAATTCTGGGCCAAAACTGAAAATTCAGTATGTCCCTGGCCGAAAAACCGAAACCGAAAATTACTTTTTTCCCCAAATGATTTTGAAAAAGTTTTTTTCCTCTAATTATTTTTAATATTAGACTTTTTAATGAATTTAATTAATCTAATATGAAAAACTTCCCTTCTCTTTTAGTGGTCCCCCGCTTAATGTTCCTCTCTCCCCCCTTTAGTCTTCTTCCCCCCACCTCTCCAGTTCCATAGTGTTCTTTTCTCCCCTCCCCTGTCCCAGTGTTTTTCCCCACATCCCATAGTTTTCTTCCCCCTTCTCCTGTCCCATAGTGTTCTTACCCCCCTCTCCTGTCCCATAGTGTTTTCCCCCCCCTCGCCTTTCCCATAGTGTTCTTCCGCCCCCTCGCCTGTCCCATAGTGTTCTTCCCTGTCCCATAGTGTTCTCCCCCCTCCCCTGTCCCATAGTGTTCTACCCCCATCCCATAGTGTTCTCCCCTCTCCCCTGTCCCATAGTGTCCTTCCCCCCTGTCCCATAGTGTTCTTCCCCCCCTCCCCTGTCCCATAGTGTTCTCCCCCATCCCATAGTGTTACTTCCCCCTGTCCCATATTGTTCTCCCCCCCTGTTCCATATTGTTCTTCCCTCCTGTACCATATTGTTCTTCCCCCCTCCCCTGTCCCATAGTGTTCTTTCCCTTCCATCCAAAAAAACATTTTTTTTTTTTTTATTTCGGCAAATTTGACCCATTTTCAGCCGAAACGGGATAGGCCCATTTTTGGCCGAAAATTTTGGCAGCTGAAATTTCGGTGCATCCCTACTCATCAGTGTTCATAACTAAATCTTAGAATACTTTCATCATGACTGTCAGCCTCAAGAGGCCAAGGTGTACAGGAACATGCACATCTCACTAAACATGCTATGTATATGTTTAAATCTATAGATCTCTGAGTGTTTTAGCACAAAAGTTGATACATTACAGTTGTCGAGCGACTTGAATTGAACTTTGAATAAAATAAATTATATATCGCCTATACTTGGTGGAAAAAATTGTGACATTTTACAGCAAAGGGTTAGGGAACTGGTTTTCGAGTGGTTTAAAACCTGGTCTTATAGACTATTTAATGTTAGGGCTTTTTGTACTGCTGTACCTGTCACGGCTTGCGTCATACAGTGTTTGGGGATTTGTAACAAGAGCAATGGAGGAGGAATTGGTGTCTACAGAATTAGAATGGAATCAGTGAAAGCTGACATTTCACTTATTACCAGTTACATTGGAAGGGCCAGAGGTGACCGGAATCCTGTACCTTACAGATCAGAGAGGCACCAGAGACAACTTCTAGCACAATAAGAAGTCGTTCAGTCTGAAGACGTAACTAGACTGTGACATTTCAGTGATTCTTTGTAAACTGCTGCTTAGCGAGCAGTAGTAAGGTTAATTTTCAGAAAATCAATTATAACAAAAGAATGATGTGTAAAGGAGGTATCAAATGTATCAGTTAATTAAGCACAGTTGGGAACTGGAAGTTGAGTCTTGGCGAGTTAAAATGACACACAGCCACATATTATATGGGCCTGTCAGGTCAGGATGATCCCAGCAGTGGCATGCTGGAGGCTCCTGGACCAGATCTCTTGGAAGTACTGTAGAATGTAGGCCCTCGGAGCTATGCTGCTGCTAATATAAATCACAGCACTGCACTGATCTAGGATGCAAAGAAGATCTTTTTGCTTTCCATTTAACTCTCCAGCCGCTGGGAATACTTAAAGAATCATACCACACAGATATTGTATCAATAAGCATTCCAAGGTTTAATGCGTTGCACAGCGTATATATTAACCCCTTCAGGACTGAGCCAAATGTACACGTTTTGATCAAAATAAAACGTAAACAAAACTTGGAATTTGATTATATGTCTGTGCAACCGTAATTTACCTATTTCATATTAAGTGCACCCACACTTATTATATATATATTTATTCAGGAGAAATAGTGTTTTCATTTGACATCAAATATTTAGCTATGAAATATAATTTAATATGAATAAAATATAAAAGAAATTGTGAGAAATTAACAAATGTTATTGTTTTAGTTCTGCATGATATTTATCTGTGAATGTCATAATACTGTTTGCTTTTACTGCAATAAAATACACATATTTGTATTCAGCGATGTCTCGTGTGTGAAACAGTACCCTCTATATACAGGCTTTATGGTGTTTTGGGAAGTTACAAGCTCCAATATAACATGTTACATTTTTCATTTTTTTCACATTGAAATTTGCCAGATTGGTTACATTGCCTTTGTGACTAAGTGGCTACTAAAAAAGACTGGACATACCCCATTTGCAATACCTTGGGTTGTCTACATTTGCAAATAGTATGTCATCATGGGGGTAATTCTCATTCCTGGGATACCATACGGTCTCAAAGGCAACGTAACCAATCTGGCAAATTTTAATGTAAAAAAACTGAAACACAAGCCTTATATTTGACCCTGTAACTTTTGAAAACACCATACAACCTGTACATGAAGGGTACTGTTATACTCAGGAGACTTCGCTGAACACAAATATTAGTGTTTCAAAACAGTAAAACGATCACAACAATTATATTGTCAGAGTAAGTGCCGTTTGTGTGTGAAAAATGCAAAAAACTGCATTTTTACTGATGATATCATTGTTGTAATACATTTTACTGTTTTGAAACACTAATATTTTAGTTCAGCGAAGTCTTCCGAGTAAAACAGTTCCCCCAATGTACAGGTTCTATGGTGTCTTGGAAAGTTACAAGGTTAAATATAGTGCTAGCAAATTAAATTCTCTGGACTTTCTGCCTTGGTTATCAGGCAGGTCCCGCAAATTGTAATTAATAAAATGACTTAATTATGTAAAAATATTACGTAAATATATATGTAGAATTAAAATATATATATATATATATATATATATATATACATATATATATTTTTTTTTAATTATTTTTATTTATATATAGGTATATCTATAGTGATATATATACATATATATTTATGTATATAGATATATATATTATTTCCTTCTAAGTTTATTTTTATATCTATATATATATATATATATATTAATATAAAAATACAGTTAGAACGAAATCACACATATATATATATATTTTTTTAAATTATTTAATTTTTATTATTTTTTTATTTTTAATTTTTAACTTATTTATATATTTATTTTATAGTATAATTTAATTAATATCATTCCATGTGTATTTTGATATTAAAATATATACATTTATAAAATTATATATATATTAGTATTAAAATTCCCTTAGACAGTGTATGTGTATATATATATATATATATATATATATATATATAAATATATATATATATATATACTTAGATCACATACATAATATATATATATGCATGTATATATTATTTTAGTTTACACTGTGTTTAACCTTTATTTTACTTTATTTCAGGCAGCAGGGGGGACTACCTGTCATCAGGCACCCCCCCTGCTGGCACTGCTATTGACGGCTATTCCGTTAATGTGATTGTGAGCTCCTCTCAAGGACCTAACGATCACATGGGCCAGGAGGGCCTGATCAGATGCCGAGGGACTGTCTGGGATGCTGGACAAGTCCCCCCTATCGCAATCGCCAAAGGGGGGTCGCCAGCGAGCAGGTAAGTACTAAGCCGCCCGCTGGCGTTTAGAACCGGATCCCCAAGAACGGCATAGCACGCCCACTGTCCTTAAGGGGTTAAACACAGTGTGTCTAGGGGTGTATACATCAGATGGAAATACTAACCAATCATAGAAGTCTCAGAACCAAAAGTATAATTTTTCATATAACATCTCGTAATGCTGTTAGTTAGTTCCTGTTAGCTGATGCAAGTGACAGTCTTTGATTTAGGAACCCAATTAAAACTTGCAGGTGCTTAGAAAGAATTCTCTTCTTTCAAGTGAAGGATTTTTATAAAAAGATAGTGGAAACTGGTATCAGGCACACGAACACAAGAACAGAAAAATATTGTATGTTTAAAAAATGCGAGTTTAACCCTTTCAAAGCACGAGTATCTTGTATTAAAATCAGGCCTACTGATCACCCAGTCTTTAAAGCCATCTATACAGTAATACTTTAGCTACGTAATAAGAAATACAGAAGTAGAAAGCAGGACATGAGACAGACACCCTGTAACATAACATATATATAGCTCTGTATGTCTAGGGGAATATTCACTAAGCATTGCATAGGTAAAACTATTTATTTTCCATCAGGGTGTCTCTCTGTCACTCAACTCTTTGCATTGCACTCCTGCAGGGCCGGTGCAAGGATTTCTGACTACACAGGCGAAGATGCGTTTTGCCGCCCCTCCTCCCCCCCAAAAAATGCATCTTCACCTGTGTGTCATGTAACCCCCCCTTTTAAATTTCTTACCCCTTCAGTGTTTTATATCCTATCATTCGAATATCTTACTCCCTTTTTCTCCTTTGTGTGTCTCACACCGCTTTGCTGTGTATTATCTCCTCGTGTTTCTCTTACAACCCATTTGTGTATTTTTTACTTACTCCAGCCCCTTTGTCTGTTTCTTTCTTCTCCCCAGCTCCTTTGTAAGTCTTTCTCCCCACAACCCTTCTGTCTGTCTATGTGTCCTCCCTCAGCCCCTCTGTGTGTCTCTTTGTCCCCTCCCCCCTTGTGCATTCAGCCTCTATGAGTTTCTCTTTTTGCCCCCCAGCATTCCTGTCCCTTTCAATGTCCCCCTCCCCCTATACCTTTCATTGTCCCACCTCCCCTCCTGTGCCTTTAAATGTCCCCCACCTTTTATTGCCTCCCCTGAACCTATTATCCCCCTCCCCTCCTGTACCTTTTATAGCCCCCCCTCCTGTAACTCTTCTTGTCCCCCCTCCTGTAACTCTTCTTGTCCCCCCCCCTGTAACTCTTCTTGTCCCTTGCCCTCTCTTGTAACTCTTCTTGCCCTCCCTCCTGTAACTCTTCTTGCCCTCCCTCCTGTAACTTTTATTGTCCCCCCCTCCTGTAACTCTTCTTGTCCCTCCATAGCTCTTCTTGTCCCCCCTCCTGTAACTCTTCTTGTCCCCTCCCTCTTGTAAATTTTATTGTCCCCCCCTCCTGTAACTTTTATTGTCCCCCTCTCCTGTAACTCTTCTTGTCCTCCCTCCTGTAACTTTTATTGTCCCTCACTCCCTTCTTACCTTCCATTGTGCCTCCTTCTGTAGCGTGGTTGAGCGGGCGGTACGCGGCAGAGGATCCTGTTTCCTGTCCCAGTCTGACAGGAAGCAGTTTGTTGCATCTCCTGTCAGACCGGGTAAACCGCGGCCCGCCCGCCCGCTCGGCAACTCTACACGCAATGACCGGCAGGAGGGGAGCACTATGCAGTGTGCTCTCCTCCTGCCAGTCACCCGAGGATTGCGCCCCCCAGGCCAGTGCGCCCTAAGGCGGCCGCTTGTGCCGCCTTATGGTAGCGCCGGCCCTGCACTCCTGGTTTAAATGAGAGCAAAATAAATACCACAAAGGAAAAACACTGGAATTTGCCTTGTTTGTCCTCTTATTGCATATGTTGTGTTCCTTAGGATTGTCAGAGTTATTCACTAAAGTGAGAATTGGCAGGAATTCAAAATGAATTAAAAGTGAATTTCAAATTTAAGGTCATATTTACCGAACTGGAAATTCACCAAGTCAGCTATCCTTCCAGTTCGGCTATTTTGAAATACGGTCCCATAATTACATTTTGGCTTGAAAGCTTAAAATCCAGGCCCAGAGTTTAAAAATCTGAACTATTTGCCCACTGGCAGCACTAGCAGGGGTTACTAATAAAATATAGAAAGGTTGGACATACCATTATCCGCCCCCCTCAAAAAATGTCCCCCACCACTAAACCTTCTGGGTGGCTAAGGGTCTCTAGCCACCCCTCCAAAACAATAGTGATGGGAGGCACCAAAAAAATTCTAATACCTATGAAAAAAATACCATCTGATGTGTTCTGAAATCTTGTTTTCTTTGGCCCCACAAATATTAATAATAATAAAGGAAACTCTGAAGACATACATAGATAGATATTGCTTTCATAAAACATGTTAAAATTACAACATAAAATATGCACAGACCACAAAATCCTGAAATATTAGTTAAATAGTCTGATAAATTGATAATAGAGAGAGAGGTCCAGGCACTCCATGACTTCTGACCCTCTCCCTTTTTTCTTCCGTTACCCCTCCCCCCGCCCCCCAATAACTCACAGACAACCAAATTGTGGGTAAGGGCAACGGCCACAGCTTTGATTAGTAAGCCAGCATAACATGAACAACTGTCAGCTGTTGGACTTTTCCAGCTAACCATAACTTTATTCTTCCCGAGCCTCTTCAGCCTGAAGTCCGTTCTCAACCAGACCAGGCTGCGACTCCCCAAGCCCGTCCAGGCAATGATCTCAGTTCCACTTGCAGGCGAAGGACAAACCGTCACCACAGCCTCTACCTATCCTGTGTTCAATGGCCGACTAATCCCAAATTGAAAATATCCAACCCAATTTCATTCAGGTGGACCCTAATTAGGTTTAAGTTGTTCCCTTCCAGCTCCACATGACGAGCCACAACACCACCCAGCCTCCACACAAAACGTGAAATCATTACATTGAACCGCCGCCTGCCGTGCTCCACCGCCTTGGCATGTGGCAGCCCCAAGCCATACAAGGAATGACTTTGGACCACACCAGCGTGACGTCACTGAAGAGCGCCATACACCAAGCCAAATCTACGACACGGCTCAGTCCCAAGTCACTCCCCCCGGCATGAATCACCAGAACCACTGGCCTGGTCATGAAGCGACAGAGCGCAACGCACTCTGGATACACTTGGTGCCAACCCAAACCCCATATCCCCGCCATCGTACCCTAACCTGCCCATGTGGGAGCCCTAGATTCCGGCCGTACGGTCTTTGTTCTGCACGCCTAGCCGCCCAATAAAGTGACCGATGATCCAAACATACCGGGGGAACCTGTAGAGAGAAGACAACACAGCATAATCCACCTAAGCCCTATAATAGGTGAGGACGAATGTACAACTGAAATCTGTGGGAATCACACCCACCCATGCGCTGAATTGCAGCATCAGACAGCCCTACCTGCCGCACCTGCATTGCTGCACCAATCCAAAAGGAGTGGGGACAGTATCCCCCATCCTCCACACCCAACACCCGCAACCCAGCCTTGAAAACACAGGAGAACTGAGACCAAGTTAAGATTGATCCATTTGGAAGGAAGAAAGACTCTGCCGCCTCCGGTCGTGACCGCAAATATTGCCCTACAAGCGCCACCAGACACCACCTTCTCCCAGTAGCACCAATACTAACCGTCCTCCCACGTTCTAGCTGGTCTGTTTTGGACTTCCGAATGAACAACTCCACTCCACCCTGCCCCACCCAAACATCCTCCCTCGTGGCCACCAACTCTCCTATCCACAGCGCGGAATAAAAACACAGAGAAAAGGCTACCCGAGACAGCAGCGCCTCGAAGGCGGAGGAGCACACCGACGAGAAAACACCACACAGTGCATCCAACAGATGGATGGACACCAGCCGCCTTCAATCCTGAACCCTCTCCTTCCTCCACCCCCGAAGCTCCCTGTGGACTACGAACTATTTGAAAACGTCCTCCCACCCCAAATAACGCATCAGAAAGGAAAGAGCCACTAAACTGCATTGTTCCACCGACAACACTGATGATGCGCACTCCCGTAAGGTTGACATGTAAGCCAAAGTAGACAGCAACCAAACCGAACTCTCCCGCATAATCCAGCCACTGCTCCCACACTGCCCGATACGCTGTCCACGAAGCGGGAGCCAGCGATCTCTCAAAGAGGTCTGCTAGGATCCGAAATCAAGGGTCCACAAGCACGTGGGATATACCAGACCATCTGCCTTGGCTCCCGGTGCGACTTCCTAAAAACTATCCCACTGAAAGCGAGAAAGAGAATCGGCAATAACATTAGACACCCAGGGAACATGCAATGCCCGAAACCAAATATTAAATTCCAGACAACGCAGCACCAACCGACGCAACAGAGCCAAAACTGGAACCGAACCCAACAAAATCGATTCACCACATGGACCACACTCATGTTGTCCGTGCGGAAAACCACCTGCCTGTTCAAGAGCTGCTCCCCCCACAATTCCACCGCTACCACAATAGGGAAAAGCTCGAGAAAAGTCAAGTTCCGTATCAGTTCCGCCTCGTGCCATGCTGCTGGCCAAGGCTCTGCACACCAATGTCCCCCCAAAAAAGCACCAAAGCCCAAGGAGCCAGAGGCATCCGTGACCAACTCCAGGGCCACATTTGATATCGCTTCCTGCCGCCAAAACGTCCAACCATTGTACTCCGCTAGGAACTCCCTCAAATCATCCTTAAGCCACTTGGTAAACTGAATAAAGTGATGGGGAAGACTAATGCCGACAGTAGCAAGAGACAGATGCCTACAAAACACCCGACCCATAGGCATGGTCCGACAAGCAAAGTTTAGATGGCCCAACAGGATTGAATCTGCCGAAGCTGCACTTTCCGAGCACCCCTCACCTGATCAACCAAGGTGGTAAGGATCCCCAATTTGTCCACAGGCATACAAAAAACCAAGCTGATGGAGTCAATCTCAATACCCAGGAAGGAAATCACCACCCTCGGGCCCTCCGTCTTGTCCTCTGCCACTGAAACCCCCAAATCTAGCATAACCGCCCTAAACTGTCCCAACAAATCCTCACACCTCGAAGAAGGCACAGGACCAACGAACAAGAAGTAATTAAGATAGTGCAGGAGGGAAGAGAAGCCCGACATCCACGCCACAATCTATGACACCCCAACAAATGAAAACAGGTAGGGTGAACTGGCAGCAACCGAAAAGCCGACTGGATGTCCAACTTAGCCATCAGGGCCCTGGGCCCTGCTTCCCGAACGAGATCCAGAGCCCGATCAAACGAGGCGTATCGGACCCGACTATCCTCCTTCGATATCCTGTCAAACCTGTCCTAACCAAGGACCCCGCTGGAAAGGACAGGTGATGAATAAGCCGAAATGCCCGCTAATGATCCAACGGAGGAATGGAAAACGGATCCGCCATCCGTCCCATCATCACTTCTTTTCTCAGCTTAGCTGGCAGCACCCCTTCCTTATCCTGTATGGAGGACAAATTGTGCGCAAACTACACCTTCCCCCCCCCCCCGACGGAGTAAATGATATCCGAAAACCCTTGGTAAAACCTTCCCATAGCAGCCGTACGTCCCTACACCTGGGATACCGTGTGAGCCACAGCAACAGTCTTTCCGCCCTTACTGGGATCCTCCCCTGAGGAATGTCATTCTTTGACGCCACCCTGGGGAGAGGCTCTCCTCTCCTAAAACATCGAACCGCCGAGTGAGCCCTGCCACAGTGGGAGCACTCATGTTTTAACCAAAAACTGCTGTACCATCTGCAATGACTCTCGTTGAAGAGCCAACAGATGCCCTTCTTGTGCCCCACCGACGTGCCGGCAGCCGAAGGAAAGGACGATGTCGACGGACGACAGGGAGTCATTAGAAGCAACCAAAGGTTGCCATACTGCATTCCAAAATCCAGGTGCGGCCTCACCGTCATCTTCTGCCCAAACTGCTGGTCATACTTAAACTAGCACTGTCCCCCGTAAACCTTATAAACCCCTCAAATTAAATCCAAATACGTAAAAAATGATGGGGCCCACTCTGGAAACCTTGCCGACTTAATGCTGACATAGGTTGCAAATTCTTGCAACCAATTCCCGAAGGTATGGGGGAGCTGCTTACCTTTTTCACTCTCCGTCGCGTCACAGTTTATCCGCCAATCACATGGGACCAAAGAGATGAGGTCCACATACTCACCCTTAAGTATTCTGTCCCTCACCTCCAAAGACACATGCAACCCCAGGGGGGCGATGTCACACCGGCCCCCCTGAAGTACCACCTCCTGTACCCAACAGAGGAGTCCACGCGGGAAGCGTAGCATCCTTCGCATCACCCCTTATGCCAACAGTCCCCATTGGCGCTAAGCGATCTAACACTAAGCGCAGCGATTGTACCACTTCCCTTTTGACTGCCCTTTTTTAGCCCCTAGACTCACTCTGCCCCTAACCAAGCGCGAGTGCACTCCAACTCACGGATCTGGAGCAGGGGTCTGTCAATCAGCTCCACATCTGATCCACCTGGCAGTATTCGCACTACGGCCTGCCTGTCTGCTGCCTCTCAAAGGGCCCGGCGCTCACCCCCATAGGAGCTCCAGATCTTCTGGGGTGGATATTTTGAGGGGAATCCTGCGTCCCTCCCTGCTCCCTGGCCAACCATTCCGGCACCAGTGAGTTCCTGCGCTGGCCCACTTTCACCCGCTCGCCGATGCCATTTTCGGGTGGGTAGCAGTGTTCTGCTCCAGAATCTCCGCTTCCATCCTTACCCAGACTTCCAGGTTCGGCAGTGGCCTGTGACGTCTGCGCTCCCTGACGCACAGACTTCATTTACGCGCCACCAGTGTTCCGGCGTGTGGCGCTCCGCCTCTTCTGGCATGTGGCCGCACACCCTGACGTCACTTACGCTGCTTCAGGAAAAGAAGGATGAGGACTGCGAGACCTCACCAGCGGCGCCATCTTGGGACCCGCCATCTTGACTCCTAGGCCCGATCAGGCCATTCGACGCCTGCCACTCCGATCACTGCTCATCCTCATACCGGTGCCAGGATTCCTCCCCAGGAGGCCAGCCTCACTCGGCCCCGGACTGTTCACAGATGGTGGCGCAGCCCTGGATCTCCGAACCGGACTGGGGGACAATCTCGATGGCGGCTTGGAACGGCGGGCCCGACATCCCCTGGTTGGCACCGACCCCTCCTGAGAGTCCTGGGCATCGTGGACACTGTGCAGCAGCGCTGCATAGGACTCTGCACCGTGGGTCCTCTGGAACGTAATAAGCAGGGCCTTTCTGGGCATTTCAGGGGCTTGAGCCATGATTTTTTTTAAATAGAATTGCATTTTTTTTCTTCACAGGACGACCAAAAACAGCACTGCCAGGTTCCCTCAGCATGTTCTCCAGTGGTCTGGTAAGTCTTTTCCCAGTGTCCCCAGTCCACGTGCATCTCCAACATTGTATCCCTTGTTGCCATGCCAACCTCTCCAGGCAGCAGTCATGCTCCCCCCTCCTTATCCACTATGGGGGTTGGCCTATAGCTTCAGATCCATTTATCTGAACAATAAAATCACTCAAAGTATTAATTATAAAATTTTAACACTTCTCAAAATTCACATTTAATCCTTTAGGTGATACAGTATCTCATTTCATTCTTGCTCAGGCTGGATGACAGGTTTCACCCTCTCCAATAGTTTTGGATTAATTGTGTACCATAAAATGAGAGTTTACTAGCATGTTTGTTATGAGACCTTGTAAAATGTAGGGATACACTGTTTATTTTACAGAGTCCAAACACGACCCACATACACTGTATGTGTATACAATAAGTTCTAAGCTCAGGGGTGTCTCTAAAAGGACATCACACCTCACTACATCATAGCCATTCTATGTTCTCTCGCCTTGACTACTGCAATCCCTTTCTTAGTGATCTTACATGTTTCCAGCTTACACCGTTGCAGTCTATAATGAATGCACCAGCAAAGCTCTTCTTCCTATCCGCCTGCACCTCCAATGCCTCCCCCCCTCTGTCAGTCACTACACTTTCTGTAAGATATAGGGCTCAATTTAAGATTCTGGTGCTTGCTTACAAGTCTCGCGGCTCCAACCTACCTATCCTCCCTAAAACACAAGATTGTCCCCTCTAGGCTCCTGCGCTCTGCCAAAGGCCAAGTCTATCCTCTGTCCATCCCACCTCTGATGCTCGCCTTTAAGACTTCTCCAAGGCTCCGCCGTTCCTGTGGAACTCCCTTCCCTTCTCCGTTAGACTTTCACCCAGTTTCCACTCCTTCAAAAAATCATTGATAACTCACTTAATCGGAAAAGCATATCAATTAAACTGTTAGCACCTTTCCCTCCCCGCACCCTGATTCTTCTCCTGCAACGGTCAAAAATAACCTAAGTCCTCGCTAAATACTTTTCTAGCAACCTACTTTTCTACCCCTACCCTTATCCTTTGTGTCACTATACCCCACTCCCTCTAGCATGTAAGCTGATGAGCAGGGCTCTCGACCCCCCTATTCCTGTGCGTCCAACTTGTCTGGTTATAATTACATGTCTGTTAGTCCACCCATTGTACAGCACTACAGAACTTGTTGGTGCTTTATAAATAATAAAATAATAAAGTCAATATGCTTTAAATAGTGATATAGTCTCATGATTGGCTTTTTTGGCTATTTGTGTTGAAAAACAGGGATATCTGATGAGATAGCCACTGAGTATACATAGGTTTGTAAGCATAAAAATGCTATATTTACATGGATTATTCTTAAGTGTTCAAATATAAACTACATATTACCTTCACTTATATGTACTAAAAAAAACATGAAAGTATTCTAAAGAAGTATAATTTCTTCTCATACTATTCTCAATTAGTGTTTCTCAATATCCAGTCCTCAATTCACAGTACAGTGCTTGTTTTATACATGTCATCAGTTCAGGTGGATTACCAGGTATTACTAAATTACTGGTTTATTAAGTCTTAAGTAACCTGTACACGTTACTATTGTTGTTGTCGAGTCTGGACATGACTCTTTTCATGAACATACAGCTATATTGACAATACTGGAGAGTTGCAAAGGAACTCTACTGGAATCCACTAAGCACACTAGAATTGCTTAGTTTCTTAGAATTCATTTACTTCACAATATATTATCCAGCTGCTTTTTTTTTTTTTCTGGAAGGAGTTTATTTTGCTTGCTTTTTGAGTTTCCTGTGAATTGTTTAGCTATAGGTAGAATTAAGTTTAAAAAAAAATATATATTTTTTTATAATTCTTTATTTTTGTTGTGCAACATTTAGACAGTTGGGCGTGTTACGCCACAACAGCGAATAAAGATATTTCAAGGAGCATAACACTGTGACATGTAATAAAACAGCAAATTTTTTAAGTAGCAAACTGGCTGATACAAGTAATGTCAGATAATGAGAGGGCGATAAGAGTGGTTGGGACAAACTATGTGGGCTGACATTAGTAGTTCAAGATAAGAAAATAGTGTAACACTCTGAGCAGTAGTTATTTCCGTAGCAAAGTGACCGCTGGGTACTATTCTCGGTGGAGATGCGATAACAGATTGTTAGATAAAGATAGAGCTAACTGCCCATCACGTGCTGGGGTATATCTGCAGCAGCAGGAGGGATGTTTTCTACATAGGCTGGTTTGGTCTGGTTCTACATAGGCTGGTTTGGCCTGGAGTATATGGGCGTGGGCCAATACATACGTAGTACATAATCGAAACAAGGCTTTTCAATGGTGGAGTACATCGTTATAGCTAGTAGGCCATATCATGTCAACGAAGGGAGGCAAAATAGTCTAACTTAACACGCTAGATATGGTATGAGATGGCTATATGGCTGATATAGGGTGCCAGATTGTTTTGACTGGTATCAAACAATAAATAATAAACAGAAAAGTAAAAGTTCCACCAATTCAGGCACATTGAGCAATTAAAGGACCACTATAGTGCCAGGAAAACATACTCGTTTTCCTGGCACTATAGTGCCCTGAGGGTGCCCCCACCCTCAGGGACCCCCTCCCGCCCGGCTCTGGAACGGGGAAAGGGGTTTAAACTTACCTTTTTCCAGCACTGGGCGGAGAGCTCTCCTCCTCCGTTCCGCCCCGTCGGCTGAATGCGCACGCGCGGCAAGAGCTGCGCGCGCATTCAGCCGGTCACATAGGAAAGCATTATGAAAATCACAGTGAGAAGCACGCAAGCGCCTCTAGTGGCTGTCAATGAGACAGCCACTAGAGGATTAGGGGGAAGGCTTAACCCATTCATAAACATAGCAGTTTCTCTGAAACTGCTACGTTTATTAAAAAATGGGTTAACCCTAGAAGGACCTGGCACCCAGACCACTTCATTAAGCTGAAGTGGTCTGGGTGCCTAGAGTGGTCCTTTAAGATAAACTTTGCTTTAAGAGAACTGTGGCCTGTGCTTAAGTACGCTTGGCCAGTGCCCGTTATTGGCTGGCAGATACTAGAAGCGCTGCTTCATACAGATATGTTGAAAGGCAGGTGTAGCTAGGAAATGAAGATAAAAATAAATGAAGAAATAAAAGACAACCAGTCTAAACAAAGCAGTACTGTTAGTCCAACGTTGGGGTTAGCTGCATCGTTGGTCTGTCCCAGCAGGTGCAGCTCACCTCACTGCCACGGTTTGGTCATCAGCCTATTCCCATGCGTGGCAGACTCATCACGCGGTCAGTTAGCCCCTTTTATTTGCAGTGTCAATATGTTAGTGTATGGCCCACTTCCCGCCCAGTGCTCGAGCAAGGGCTTTCTCCTTCACCCCGTGCACACAGGAGTTGTTAGGGAGTAGTAGTTTCTCAGAGGGAGCATGTCGCGGGAACTTTGCTGCGTGTCACCGCTTACGATTCGCGGTCTTCCGCCTAGATAGGCGAGGTGGCAGGATCAAGCTCTGGGTAATTTGCGGTCCTCTTGGTCTCTTGTTAGGGGAGGCAGGGGTGTTGCGGTTTGCTGTGCCCAGTGGGTGATTTGCCGACCCCAGTATCTCACCTCCGCCGTCCGTTTTCAGTAGTTGGGGAGGGGCAGAAGCCAATCGTTGTTCCAATTGGGACCAAATGTTTGCAAATGTCGCCTCCAACCTTTGCATGAAGTCACTGTGGAGGTCCAGCAGTGATTTACCCTGCATGGACGTGGCTTGTGCCGCCATTAAACCTCTCTCCGCCATCTTAGAGAGTGTGTTGAGCAGGTGTGAAGATTTTGCAGCAGGAGTAGCCACTTGAGACAGTCCAGCGGGGAGCGGGATAACCCCCACCGGTCCAGGAGAGAGGGTAATGCAGTGTACGGATCCCACCGAGCCTGCCCGAGATCTCAGAGAGTGGCCGTTCTTGTGTAGGCCACAAAGCCTCGAGTCGGGCAAATCGGTTGCGGAGTGGCTCAGATGAGGTATCATTAAATTCACTGTCGTCTCGTTAGCACAGATAACGCTTAATTGTGGTCCACTGATTGAACTGGCCGGGGATATCATCTCTTGCAACCCACTTCTGGTCAGCTTAACCATCGGTCTCCGCCCTCCCCAATTGAGTCAAATTTTATATTTTCCAGTACCATGTAAAAAAAATGAATAACATACATTTTATGTGCTGGATTAAAAAAAAAAAAAGATTTTATTTCTGCTTTAAACGAACACTCCGACAGTTTTTTCAGGAAATGGGGTCAAATAAATGAGGGATGAGTTCTTGAACTTGTCCCCAAAAAACAAATTTAGCCAAAGGATACATGAGCAGCTTGAAGTCAAAGGTTAAAAAAACAGACCAACTGGTACATTAGTATATGTTCTTACTTTTATTTGGTTATTTGTTTTTAAAAGTTGATTGAGGTGGTTGTTTATTAACCGCGCCATAAAATAATACGTTTTTGTTTTTACATTAAAATAAACCATTTTGTCTGCCTTGATGCAGAAATACTTGTTCTATAAATCTGATAACTTTTAGCTGTTTAATAGTTAACCACAATCCTTGAACGATGTGTTTGTCTGTTTTGTTTGCATTTGAAAGATAGAGATTATTTTCATTACTCTTGCTCAGCATGAGTTCAGCACACAATAACATATACCTTTGTTTGTCAGTGTCATTTAAAAAAACACTGTTGTGAGAAAAAAATATTTGGGTTGTGCATTATGAAAGGGCTAACCTCGATTAATTTCAGTTACTAAAATAAGAATTGCCAGAATTTAAAAATAAATTAAAATTTTGAATGAATTTAATTTTTATTTATTTTTTTAATATCTGTATATGTATTTTCAGGAGTTGTCCTACTTTAACAAATTTCACTTATTAGAAACTGAATAAAATGCACAGTATACCACAGCCTGGTAAAGTCCACAGAAACCATATTAATTGAAATATTAGTGGATGTTCTATACGCTTACTTTTAATTCTATTCCTGACATTATTTGTTGACAGTAATTGTTGTTGGCACCTGCAGAAACTGAGGGGATTAAGTGTAACTATAGTGCAAAACATTGTGAGTTTCTTCATGTTGGAGCACGTTGGGAAATAACATCCTCCATACATTAATTAAGACCGCCGATGGACAGAATGATCTACTATATACTAATCTAGCATCACTGCAGCCTTTCATCTTATCTCGAAATCGGTCAGATCAGATGTCTCTGATGGCTGCATGACAAATACACAGACACAGGGAGAGTATCTGCACCTCTGTACCAATCACCCCCAAACACAAAAAACAAACCTAAACAATAACTGTGAGTTATTCAGAACCTTCCAATCAATAGTCACAATATATAAGTAATAAATGTACTTCAGGTTGTCAAAAAGTAATAAATTCCTCAATTAGTCCGGATCCTCTGCAGGGCTGCAGGTTGTGTTTCAGAAGCCATCCGACCACATACGCAGTGATAGCCCTCTTGACATGTTTCCACCATGGAGGCTGTGTACTAATTGCTGCCTTTATGAGGATTGTAACCCATTTTCTCTTCGACATGCCTTGATTTCATTTTTATAAATAGAAGTGAATAATGCCCTTGCGACAAGCTTCCAGTGTTAGTGCTGAATTGATACAAATCAGAAAGTTCAGCGTGAATGGAAACGAGACTTAATTTCACGACATTCCTGATTAGATTCTTCATATGGCCCGGCCGTTCTGGTCAGTCAATAATTGCAAAGAGTCAGCATTCACGGCTCGGATACCTTGCGGCATGTAATGGTTCTCATTAGAGGAAGTACTTTCTTTGTTACAATCTTCCTTCTGCGTGACAGTCTGTCCTGAACTCTCAAAATGAACGCAGTGAAAAACTTTGTTTGCTGTGTGATCGATCCGATCATATAAGGCTGAGCAACAGTGGCACCCCAGCACAGCTGGTGACATATGTAACCAGAATCCAAGTCGTAATTCTTGGTGTCTCCATTCAGCAAGGCATTCCAACATCAGCTGGATCCCTCGATCATGCTGGCACATTCGGAGATGGTAGCAACATTGTCTGTAGGGACCAATAAGCCTTTCTACAGTGTAAATGGCTGGTTGGTGAACATGCATTAAAACAACAAGAAATGGAAAACCTTATGTTATGTGTCCCATGATTCGAACATACCTGCAGACACAAGCTGGGAAATATAGCTTCTACCAGGACCGTCACAGGAACTGTGAGTGATCAACGACACGGATCAATTCCAGTTCATCCATGGATACCTCAATATAGTACGAATAAAATGTCACACTTTGATGGCATCAAGATGGAGTCTGGGGAAAGCAGTTTCAACACCTTCAGGAGCTGTGTGAGACTCATTAGAGGTGGGCGAACAGCTACCATTATTTCAGTATGATTCTTCTTGGGATTGTGTTTGCTCCACTGCATTAGAGCCTGGAAAACGAGCGCACCCTTTAACAATGACAGGAAGCCCTCACTGGTGATGACATCCTGTGCATTACGATCCATAAACATACAGCAGGTGCTGGTCAGTTTGGATAGCAAGTGCAGGTTGGCCACATAATAGATTATGCACACTTTCTGAATCTTGAGAATCATCCAAAGGTGTTCCGACGTGGAGTCCTTGAGCTCCGGGAAGCCATATCTATGAGCTAAGCGGAGAAATTCCAGGATGACATCCTCCCGTTCATCTGGAAGAGTGGTTTGCAATGTGTAGATTTATGTTATTAGCATGGTGAAGGACTCTGAACTAGTGTCCTGCAGGACGATTTCTGCCTCAGGCTGATATTCCCGCATTCCTCTATATAACAATGCTCTGAAATACTGACCCCTGGCGACCAGGATTACTCTGTGAGCTGGAAACTTCTTATTTTCCAAAATAAAGGTAACATCACTGTATTCTTCACCATTTATCAGCATGTCAACATTCTCCGATAGTAGGTGCATATGGTAAATTTCTCAGATGGTTGTGTATGGCCGCAGAGGGTGGCTGTTACTCATCCTGGCAGCATGCAGCGAATTGCAGGTCAGCCCACAGAGACAGCTCCTTCCTGCCCGGGTGACAAGCTCTCCACCCCCCCAGGTTGGCTCTCCTGAAGTAACAAGAGGGCAGAGAGCGGCAACCATGTCTACTACTGGCATGCCATCATAACCTGCCCTTATATCACATTACTAAGAGGAGAGTTGATGGGTAATACAGAGGGAATTTTAGCTTATAGACCACAACAGCCAAATTGGGGGGGCAGGAGGATGTCTGTCAGCTATGCCTATTTCATTTATGCCTTCACTTGGAATTCCTAACAAGTCACTTTTTAGTGAACAATCCTGTGTGTGTTTGTTTGTGACAAAAGCTTGTCTACTATGTGATTATTGCTTGCAGCACAATGCATTTCTAAGGGGATACTGCTGATTAGATACAGGCTTCCTGTTGTTAACTGATAGTTTAGTTCAAAGAGTTTCTGTGTGACCTTACATGTACTTTCGTCCAGATCAGTTAGAACCTTGTTTGTTAAATGAGAGCTCAGGGATGTTCCCAAAAACTAGGCATGTGCATGGGGAAAATATTCAGCTCGGTTCGGCATTCCGAAATTCGTGACTTCATCAATTCGCACTTCGGAACTTTGGCAACTTCAGAACTTAGACACTTCGGAACTCCGGCATTTTGGGACTTCTCTTGCAGCCGCTTGGTAAATAACGCCCTAATTCCCATGGTATTAGGGAGTTATCTACCAAAAGGCTGAAAGACCTAAATTGGTTATGGATTTTTATTTGGCCTTTTTTGGGGCTGAAAAAGAAGATTTTAGAAGAAAGAAAACACCAAATGGTAAGTTTTTTAAAAAATTTTTACAGGTACTTAGTTAAAGGTCCCCCCTCTTTATTTTTAGGGTGAGGGGGGGTAGGTAGGGGTTCATTTTTGCGGGGAGGGTTAAATTTGTATTTAGGGCCCCCCACCCACCGCTCAGGGGTAGGGGCCAGGGGGGAGGACATTAGATTCCCCCCCCATTCTAGTTTAGGGCCCCCACCCACCGCTCAGGAGGGAGGACATTCGGTCCCCCCCATTTGTATTTAGGGCCCCCACCCACCGCTCAGGGGGGGAGGACATTAGGTCCCCCCCTTATTCTTGTTTAGGGCCTCCACCCACCGCTCAGGCGTGGGGGCCAGGGGGGAGGACATTAGGTTCCCCCTCCCCCAATTTTTATTTAGGGCCCCCACCCACCGCTCAGGGGTGGGGGCCAGTAGGGAGACAATAGGCAATTTTGCACCGGGGGCTAGTTACACCCCCAGCATACATGACTAGGCAGCCTGGAAATTTGTTCAGGGCTGTCTAATGTAAGCTCTGTGCATATTTTCTGTCTGTTGTCAGCATGCACTTCACACTGATGATAGACATAACTGCTTCTCCGCAAGGGTAAGCTCTCTATCCTCTCCCTCCCACAGTAAAAGCAGCTCCTCCTGCCCCTCTATCCCTTCTGCATATATATTTTTCTACCCAGCTTCCACGCATGCGCTCTGAGCCTGATGGATCATCCAATCAAAGGCTTCCCTATAAGAAGCCTTTGATTGGACCTCTGCACAACTATCGTGACTTTAGACCGATACAGGTAAGTAAAACGTCTTTTAAAACGCTCTTTGAGCATTCATATTGGGTGGGACCTAAAGATTATTGACAATAGGGCATTATTCTAATTAATACAAAAAAGGCTTGGAAAAAAACCTTTAATATGCGAATCACTAAATATTTCAAGAGCTTTACCTTTATTCAGCTATCACACTTGGGTGTGTCACAAAATATCAGAAGATCTGCCAAAACAACACTGAGTCCAGTTGTGTAAATATTAGCAGAACTGTCCAAACAGAAATATGTTAATACTGTCCAAGTGGAAGCTGTTACTACATTTCCACAAAGCTTCAAGGATAGATATGATGTGTAACAGCTTGGCATGTTTTTCTTTTCATTTATTGTATGTGTAGTTCACTGCTAAAATACAATCAGAAACATGTATGCAACATGTGCGTCTGAGCCACAGTGTTGTAATATAATAGTCAAAATAAGAGTAAGCAAGCAATGATATTTAAAGAGACCCTGTAGTCACCAGAACAACTACAGCTTAATGTAAGAGAAAATGCAGTGTTTACATTGCCCCTACGGACACTTACTATGGCCACTCATCAGATGGCCACTGGAGATGCTTCCTGGGGCAGTGCTGCACAGTGCAGCACTGTCGTTCAGCATATCCACACTCTGCAAGCGACGTAAATTGTGTTTTTAACACTATAGGGTCAGGAAAACCGTTTGTGAAAAAGTCAACTTATTTTTTATTTTCTTTATTTTTTTTTGTGAAAATTTTATTGGAAATTCGCATAGATACATCAATTGTCAGTGGTATTCAAGGTATAGTATAAGAAACAACAAGATACAGTGATGTTAAGGCATGACAATGGCAGTATGGAATGTACAACGGTTGTTATCGGGTCGTCTGACCTTGCATCATGATGATACGTCATAGTTAGCTTGAGTGTGCATTGTACCCAGTTTAACTTATTGCAGAGAGTGGCGATATCCTTATAGTGTCATGAGTGCACCTGACGGTTTTACCTGTGGTGGCGGGTATGCAGCCTAGGGATAGGCTCGGATTGGTTTTATTTTTGTCGTTGTTCCCCGGACTCTAATTGGTAACTCTAATTAAGGCTAAGTTGCTTTCTCAGCATGAGTATCAGACGAGCAGGATTACATCTGGTGATCCAATAAAGGAAAACCGGGTTTCCATAACGGGGAGCTTGTCTGACTCTAGGGTGCACGGTGACCATGTGTGGTGCTGAGATAGTCGCACCATGGTTTCCATGTGGTTGTGTATGTGGAGTATTTGTCTGTGAGGGAGAGGCATGTCTCCTCTAGACCCCTAATAGTGTCGACTTTTTGTATCCATTCTCGGATGGATGGTGGATGTGGGTGCTTCCATAGTGCTGGAATAAGTTGGTTCGCTGCAGAGATCAGATGTGTCAGTAGGCCTGCTGTCGATTTTGGTATGTTTCGGGGGGTGATCAGGAATAGAAAAAGTTCCGGGGTAAAGGGGACATGGGTAGATAGAATCGACTGTATCGTCCCGTGTATGCGCTTCCAGTAGTGTTGAATCACCGGACAAGACCACAAGATGTGGGCGGTGTTGCCTTCGGGTGCATGACACCTCCAATATTGGTGTGGGTGTGTTGGAAATAGGGATCGTAATTTTGTCGGGGTGTAGTGCCATCTCACTACCCTTTTGTAGTTACTCTCCTGGATTGTGGTGTTTCTAGAGGACCTATGGATATGTGTGAATATGGTGCGCCACATTTCTGGTGTGAAAGATGTGTTTAGTTCCTTTTCCCAGGACGAGGTAAAGGCCGGTGGATGGTGAGGCATTGTTTTAGTGATCTTTGTGTACATCTCTGAGATGACTTTCTTCTTTAGGGTATGTTCTTTGCAAAGTGTCTCTAATTGAGTGTGAGGACGGACAGGATTATGTGCCAGTGGCCCTGTGAGTAGGAAGTGTGAGAGTTGTTTGCATTGGAACGTTTGCAGTGCAGTGTGACCCTCTGTTGTAGTCTGCAATGGTTTCACCTGAGTTCCCGTGTCGTCCACAACCTCGGCGAGGCGTAGGTAGTGTGAGTCATGGTACTGCTTGAATGCCCTCCCATTCTCTCCCGGTTGAAAGAGAGGGTTGTGTGTTATTGGATATAACGGGGAAGGGTAAGGTGACATTGTCTGGTGAGTCCTTATCTTGGCCCACATTCGTAAGGTTGGTGAGATTGTGGGATGTGGGGAGTGCAATAAAAATGGCAGTCCTGATTTGTGCCATGGTATTGTGAAGATGGGAGTCCTGAAGAAGGTATTTTCTATGTGTATCCATTGTGCTGTAGGGTGTGGGTGCGTCCAGTCATACAGTCTGGTCAGAAGGACTGCTTGGTGATATCTCTCTAGGTCTGGGAGGCCTAGTCCCCCTTCGTCCTTTGGTCGTGTGAGGAGTGAGTAGGCAAGCCTTGGGTTCTTGTGTGCCCAGATGTAAGTCGTAAGGGTTTTCCGGACCGTTGTGAACCATGACTTAGGTAGAGTAATTGGTAATACTTGCATAACATATAGGAGTCGTGGCAAAACATTCATTTTGAGAATGTTCAGCCTGCAGAACCATCCAAAATGAGGTTTGTTCCAGGTGTTGAGATCTGATTGTATGTTTTTCATCAAACTAGGGAAATTACTCTCAAATAGGTGGGATGCCTCTTTGGTTAAGTGAATACCTAGGTATTTTATCGTGCGGGTCGCCCAAACAAATGGGTGTGTTCGTTGTATAATGTCTGCGTCGAGAGGGGAAATGTTAAGCGGCAGTATCTCGCATTTGCTGAGGTTGGCTTTGAAATTGGAAATTTTGCTAAAAGATTCAATTTCTGCCATTAGGTGAGGTATTGACGACACTGGATCCGAGATTGTGAATAGCATGTCATCTGCAAACGCTGCTATCTTATGTTCCGTTGTGCCCGTTGTGATGCCTTTAATCGAGGTTTCGTCTCTAATACCCTGGAGGAAGGGCTCCAGCGCCAGGACAAATAGGAGAGGCGACAGGGGACATCCCTGTCTGGTGCCGTTCCTTATTGCCACTGGCTCTGACAATTGGCCATTGACCCTAATGTGCGCTGTGGGGTGTGAGTATATTGCATTGAACCATTTGAGCCAATTTGGGCCGAACCCCATGTATTGTAAAGTGTGTGATAGCATCGTCCAATCTACCCTGTCAAACGCCTTTTCGGCATCAATGGACAGGAGCAAACTGGGGCATCCATCTCTCGTTGCTTTGTGTATGAGGTTTAGCAGTTTTGTGGTGTTGTGTTTGGCTTCCCTGCCAGGGATGAAACCTGACTGGTCTCCATGTATCAGTCCTGGTAACAGCGGTCTGAGTCTGTTGGCCAGGATTTTTGTGAATAATTTTAAGTCGATATTTATCAAGGAGATCGGTCTGTAACTGCCGCATTGAGTTAAATCTTTCCCTGGTTTAGGAAGTAGCGTAATCGTTGCGTTCAAGGCCTGTGGGGGGAGAGTGTCTGTTTTGAGTAGAGCATTGAACGTGTTTTGGAAGTGGGGTATGAGCAAAGGAGCAAAAGTCTTGTTTCTGTAGTGCATGGGCCAGCAAGCGCCCGCATTTGCCCCCGTGTGTGTAGTAAGTGCATCTTGTCTTGGCTAGGGAGCGTTTGGTATTGATGTCGAGAATTGTATTTAACTCGGTCCTTTTTTCGATTAGTGTCTTAAATGTGGTGAGGTTGAGACCGTTTTTATGTATTCCCTCTAGGCGCCTAATCTCTCTAGTGAGACTAAGTGTGCGAGATTCCCTCGATTTTTTGAGTCTAGAGGCTGCCTGGATGAACGTACCTCTTATTGTGCTCTTATGTGCTTCCCAAATGATGGGGTAGGTGGATACTGGGTGTGTGTTGAGCTCGAAATACTGTTCCAGGGAGGATTCGGCCTGGTTCCGGATAGTGGTATGGTTAAGTAGGGTGTCATTCAGTTTCCACTGTGTCCGAGTGGGATGTAGGGAGGGAATCTGAAGTGAGAGGGAGATTGGTGCGTGATCAGACCACGTGATTGTGTCGTATGTGCAGGAGCGGACTAAGTTGAGAAATCTGTGTGGGAGAAGAAATAAGTCAATTCTCGAATACGAGCCCGAGGAAAATGAGTAATAGGAATAGTCCCGCTCAGCGGGGTGTAGGACGCGCCAACAGTCATAGAGCTGATGCGAGTCCAAAAGTTTCTGGACTTGCACCCGTGTTGAGACTTGGTATGTGGAGGCTTGTGAGGTTGTGTCTAATGCTCCATCTAGGGAGATGTTGAAGTCGCCTCCTAAAATCAACATGCCTTCAGTAAATTGTATCAGCTGCCTGATTATCTTACGTAGGGCTTGGAATTGTTTCCTATTAGGAAGATATATGTTGGCTAGGGTTATTGGGGTTGTGCCCATCAGGCCCTTCAGAAAGATATATCTCCCATTGTCGTCAGATGTGTGTTCTTTGTATGTGAATGGTAGATGCGGGGAAAGGAGAATCGCCACTCCCCGTGACTTCGAGCCTACATAATTGCTAAAGTATCCCTTTGTGTAGTGTCTGGATTTTAGTGAAGGTGCTGAGTCTTTACGGAAGTGTGTCTCTTGTATGAACACCACTTCCGCTTTTGATTTATGGTAGTCTGTGAGAGCCATGTGGCGCTTTTCGGGGGTATTCAGACCCCTAGCATTGTGTGAGAGTATGGAAATTGTTGCCATGGCTGGAGATTTGGGGGAGGGTAGTGTGTAAAAGGTTACTATGGTCATGTGGGGTGTGTGTTTGTAGTCTATATCTATAGATGTTGCGTGATGCGTACCCTGTATGTATTCGACAGGCCAGGTATAAATTCTTACACCAAAAGGTGTTACAATACTACACAATGTCAATGCGATATACAAATTTTAACAAAACAAGACAAAATAAAACTATATACAATAGATTGTGACGTTAAGTTACCGGTGTTGCTCTTTGGCAACTATAGGAGTATAAATACCTAGGGTCTGCCCCTGAGAAGTCCCGTAGTCTACAGTAGGCAAGGTTGAGATGACCCTGATGTAAGTGGGGGGGGGGGTGAGACTAGGAGCTTGTACACTTTTTTTTTTTAATTAAGTATGATGCAGTGGGCTCCTGGGGCGCTTGGAGCTGAACCGCATCTTGGTTTATTATTGCTTCGTGGAGGTAAGTGTCTTATAAGGCAATGGGGTAGCGTGTGGGTGAGGTCGGCTGACTTTTTTTTCTTTTTTTTTTTTATGGGGGAAGGAGGTATGAGTCGCCCCAGTGGGTCCTAATACCTTTCCCTCCTTTGGGTATCCCTTTATGTCAGGTGTCGGTCTAGTATCCCCTTCTCTGGACGGTAACGTGTACCGATTTTTAGTATGTCTGGGCTGTGCCGTCTTCTCTGGCCAGTCTTGTCCATGTCTGTCAGTCCCTTTGTCTCCCTAGCGCAAAGCGTTGCATATGTGTACCCCTTGGGCGGGAGATACTTGTTAACCCCATAGTCATATCTAAGCGGGTCACCCCTATAGTAGTAGTGTATGTCAATTTCACAATTACAGAAGGCAAACATAGGTCAAAACATAAGCATGTATACGACCTGAGGTTTCAGCGTCGGCCATAGTGGCCTCTCTTGTGGCATTCGTGATTAATCCCTTTCGGGACCATGTTGTTGGGGTAAGTCCAAGTCTTGTGGGTGGGCTCTATCTGGGAGTAGAGGCCAGCGTCTTTATTTAGAAAATCGGACGTGCAGAGAAGGGTATCTTGGGGTTGTTATTAGAGAGTGTCAGTAGAGGCGATTTAGTGTCCAGCAGCTGTGGTCTGTCCTCCTTCTTCTAAGTGTTGAGAAAGTCCAGCCTGGGTCAGCCGTTGTCTCTTGGCTGGGGATCTCCATCGTGGTCTTTGCTGTTGAGATGGTGCTGTTAACGCCGGATCAGGAGCATACCAATCCAGGATGGATGTTTCTGCTAGGTTTAATGCTTCGGTGAATGGCACGATGTCCTGGTGTGTAGAGATCGTATATGTGGTTCCGCGGGTGTTTACGATGAGGGCAAAAGGAAAACCCCATCTGTATCGTATGTTGCGCGAACGTAGCTGATCGGTGATTGGCCTTAGGGCTCGTCTTGCTTGCAGCGTGTGCCAAGATAGATCTTGATAGATCTGTATTTCGTGTCCTTGAAATAACAAGGGGCCTGAGGTGTCCCTGAGATGTTTCAAAATATCTGCCTTAAGAGCGTAGTAGTGGATGCGGCAGATAATATCTCTTGGGGCATCGCCGACCGCTGCTTTGGGGCGTAGGGAACGGTGTGCTCTGTCCAGGATGACCGGCGATTCTGGCTTGCGCTTAAGTATAAGATTGAAAAGCGAGGCCAGGACGTTATATAGGTTTTCCCCTTCTGCTTCTGGTATTCCCTTTATACGTAAATTATTTCTCCTGCCCCTATTGTCGATATCGTCTAGAGAGCGTTGCATCATAGATAAATGCCTTTCTTGGACTTGGACTTTAGCTGATAGGGAATGCATTAATGTGTGGTGAGAACCCCTTTCATCCTCCAGGTCCTGAACTCTTCGGCCTACCTGAGTTATTTCTGAATTGAGGCTTTCCATCTTCTGTTGAAAGGTAGTTTCTAACTTTCCCAGCATCTGAGCTAGGTCAGCTCTGGAGGGCAAATTTCGTAATATGCCTTTAATATCTGCTTCCATCGACACCTGTGATGTGTCTGACGCTGTGGGGCTCGGAGGATCTGAGTCGGCGGTTACTGCCGCCGGCGCCATGTTGGATTCCCCGGGGTCCGCCGTGCGGTCGGAATAATCTCTAAATAAGCGGGCCACAGTGCCCGATTTCCCGGCTGGGGTCTTCCCGGAGTGCTGGGGAGCAGGGTGAGCCTTTTTGTGATTGCCCATCGTGGATTTGTTACCTCCGTTTTTGGCGGTTCTGTCCGTGCTGCTCAGGAGCTGAGCTAGTGTGCTTCCATGTAGCTCGGCTGTCGGCCACGCCCCCCGAAAAAATCAACTTATATGAAATCACTCCATATACATTAAATACACAATAAACAAAGTTACATGAGGTATTCATTGTAAAATATAGAGCTTTACTCACCCCTCCTCCATCTCAGTGCCGCCATCTTAAAGCTTTGTGGGTGTTATTCTTCATGTAACACCCACCTCCAGGACGTCCTCTGATCCAGCTACGTTCTTCTTTAAATTGCCCTGCTTGGGTATGATATCCACAATGACTTTAGCAGGCTGGCTTCGTTGAAAGCATGTCGGCATCAGAACGGAGTGATGCTAGAAGCGCCGGATAGAAATTATATAATTATATAAATAAACAGAAATTAGTCAACTAGTGTATAAAGTCTCAGCTATCAGGTTCAGTAAGAATGTTTTGTGTTTACAGAAGGGACAATATTAGTACCATTTGAAATATATCAGCGAATAACAGAGGATGAGGCAAACTTTGTGTTTTAAGCAATGAAGGAACCTATGACAGCCAATGCTTTTATAACAGTCCAGTCTTATCCTATTACAAAATGGAAAATAAAAAAAATATTATTAGATTGCCTCACAATCTAGTCCAGGTTTCTAAATTCTTGCATTAGGGCCACAATTTGGTCTCCATGTAGTTTTAGTGAGCTTCATATCATATATTTTGTGTCCCAGACAGTCAATTTACCAACTTACCAATTGTAAATAAATTATAAATGTATTATAGCTGCGTCCTGTTCCCCAATGTGATGATGACTTCATTAGACATTGAGAATAGATTTATGTTGGTATTTTGTGTATCTCCTATTTAGTATACTTAATATCACTGTGACAAGAGAGTTTGCCACGAGTTCCTAGAGGAGCCTGCTTGCCAGCCTTCTGCCCACAGACTATGGACCTTAATAAATGTGATATAAAAGTCTCCATTCGTGCAATTGGGATTATATGGTTTAGTTACCGAACAACCGCACGAACCAGAGACCACCCTGGAGCTTGTTGACACCTATTAACAGCTTGGAATGTTTCTCACTGCAGTGTTCTAATTGTTCGTCTGGGTGGCCGCAATGCCTATGGCCAACCACGAGGTGGCGGCCATCTTGTGCGCATGAACGCAGGCGGTGGTGTTTGGGCATGAATCTCATGGAACTAAAATCGGACACAGAAACTCCCGAACACCGCTAGACTTCCATCATCGCCTGCGTTCAGTTCTATACAACTTAGAAGGGCACTGTTCGGTGAAATCATTCGTCTGGATGAGGGGAACAAGTTCCAGGGCAAGACTATTGACTCTGTTCTGTAGTTTGTTCATTTTCAGGACCATGCCTGAGGTCAGTCAAATAAATGACTTGCAGGAAACTATCAGGGGATGCAACTGTTATGGGGTTTCATGTATTTTTAGGGTACTTTTGGGGTGTTTTGGAAAAAGTATGTGTTTTCTGTGCTTGGAGATAATTGGATTAGATTAGTACAGTTCCTGATCCAATTATCTCCCAGGCACAGAGGAGGGATTATCAGATTTTGTATGGGAGTGTCCTAGACCTGAGACCCAATGTAATTGTGTATTTATTTTTTTACTGTGGTTTACTGTCAGGTCCAGGGGGGAGTGCCCCTTGCATGGGCACATGCATATAAGGCCAGTTGTGGCTGCCATTAAAGCGTTCCAGCTTGCACTCCAAAAATGTGTGTGATCCTGTTATTGAAGGGAAGGAAGATTTAATCCCTGTATCTGCTGTTCCTGCTTGCAGTGGATTCAATGGGGAAAGTCTTTGTAAGGACTGAGTGTCGTTCAGTGCCTAGGGGTGTCTAGAGTGAATTCCCCATTTGGCTCCAGGAAGAGCGGTTCCAGGGCCCCAGTCAAGCCATGGCGAATGTGGGCAGAAGTCCTGCGGTTTGTCCCCTGTTCCAGCTAGGGAGCGGTCCTTGGCGGAGGTGCCCAGCCAGGGGTGCAGGGAGCTCTGTTACAGTCACAATGAGGGGGAGTGGGCCACTACATTGTTTGTACTGTTAAAGAATAGGTTGCTAAGGGATTGCGTTGTATTGAATGGGTCCCTGTAAAAAACAGTAAAGAACCACTGATCCAATCGCTAAACACCATTCTCTGTGTGTCTACCTGTGGTGAATTAAACAGTATGCCAATCTCCAGGATCCAAGCCACACAAACATATTTCCTTTCTTTTATAACATGCGTTGTCTTGCAACATTGAGGGGACAACTGCTGGGAGGTTAGGAAACATTTAGTCCCTCCTTTGTGTCCTTTCAATTGATAGAAAGTCTGTAGCCTCAGACAGTTACAATCTGCTTGTTAACATTCCTTCAAGCTTTGCATGGTCTTAGAATAGAATGCAGCGAAGTAGGATATCATGCCTATTAATTAGAACTAGAGAGTATGCTGTATTTGTGTAAGGTATAATAATAATACCCTACTGTTTGCTATCTTGTACCGTAATACAATATTCTGCCTCAATCTCATTAAGTCAGCGGAAATCACAATTTATTTTTTTTTTTTTAAAGGACAATAGTGACACAATAACTGTTAGTGTGGTATGCCTACTGGTATCAGCCTATCCTTTTATTGTTTTGCAATAGTTTGTGTTATTGATATATTAGGATGTCTCCTTTGCTCCTGCTCACATCACATGCTCACTTTATTGCGCAGGACATATGATTTAACACTTTCGGTACCAGGGGCGTGAGGAATAGTTTACCCACCCTTAGGTACCTAAAGCATTCTAACAGGGGCACTCATTTTAAAATCCAAATGTTTAGCGTATGTGTTGATCGTATTTTTATAAAGTAGAATTTGTTCAGTTATCATTGCACATTGCAGCTCAGAGATTTTTCTTGTCTGTGAAATGTATCAGTGATAAACCAATATTACCCATATTCCAATAATACCCCAAATTGTGTGATTGACATGTTCACAGTCACAGTGGTAAAAATTGTGTCTATGCATTGTGCTGGTAAAAGTTATCTTCCTTCACATAGAAAATGTACTCCTGGATCACAAGTGCAGGCACCCCTCTTTCAAGCGATTTAAAGGGGGGGGGCTTTCTGAACGCCCCACTCAGGGTAGCCTGTGATGAGAGCATTGATGAAGCTGTCTGAGCATGAAATGATTGCAGTGCTAGCACATAGCCAGAGGCAGGACACCAGGGAGCAAACCAAGGACAGCAGAACAGCACCACAAGTTCAGGACAACGCATGGGTGTTGAAGAGTGTAGACCTCTACTCCCTGCTGATCATCCTCTGTTAGTGATGAATATTTATCTGGAAATCTATTCATAAACAGAGCTATACATAGGACACGAGTTCACACATTTAGGCTGGAAGAAAGGAGATTTCATCTAAGGCAAAGAAAAGGTTTTTTTTACAGTAAGAACAATAAGGATATGGAATTCTCTGCCTGAAGAGGTGGTTTTGTCAGAGTCCATACAGATGTTTAAACTGAAATTGGATCAATACTTACAAAAACATAACATACAGGGATATATATATATATATAATTTCTAATAAGTGGGGTAATAGCTGTTTGATCCAAGGAGACATCTGACTGCTATTTTGGGGTCAAGAAGGAATTTTTTCCTAGTTTGTGGCAAAATTGGAAGCGCTTCAGACCAGGTTTTTTGCCTTCTTTTGGATCAACAGCAACAACATTTGTGAGGAAGGCTGAACTTGATGGACGCAAGTCTCTTTTCAGCTATGTAACTATGTAATATTGGGAGATGCCCCATTCTGCACATTATTTAATCTGGGACTGGACTGTTTCTGTGTGTTGTGATAGCAGAGACAACTTGCAGCATTTTTTTGCATTCAGCCACGTAAGTCACATCTCTGGGAAGATGTGTTATGGTGTTACATCCTCCAAGCTCTGATGCCACATAGAAGAACAAGAGCAAGGCAGTCCACGATCTTTTCATGCAACAGGGTTTCTGGATCAGCTGGGGTTAACTGCAGAAGCACTCCTCCATGGGACAGCAAGCAAGGAATAATTGCCAACTCAACCACTAGCATTTTAGGGTTGCTACTTCTGTGGATTAAATAGCAGGGGGTACATTGAGATGTTGTTGATGGAGTACAGCAGAAAAAAAGACAGCAGGCAGGAATTGTCTTTGTTAACCCCTTCTTGCCAGGAATTGAGTACATACAAAGCCCAGGGTATGCACGCTCTACCTGGAATGGTGTATACACCATTTTAACTTTTGCAAATAAAATTTGTTTGTTTGCAATTGCTGCCCAGATGTTAGAACTGGCGTTATCATTATAGGGCATGTTATGACCCCCTGCTGCTGCACGGGCTGGTGGTGAGATATATAGATTTCCATGCTCAGCCCTGCGCATGCCTGCACATCTGGCTGACTGTAGAGCATTGTAGATGCTCTCTCCTGGTTAGAGAACAGATTGAAGCATTCAGAGGGGTCTGCACCCAACTGGAGGTGCAGACCTGTTTCAGAGCCCTCTGGCCAACCTGGGATCCAAATGCACTTTAGGAGAATCAAGAATAGAGACCCCTTCAGATTGAGTATGTGTGTGCATATATCAGAGTGTATTTATTTGTGCATATGTCAGTGTTCTGTGTGTGTCCAAAAAGAAAACATGGCTGCAATATGAGGGCTATATGGTATGGACCATGTCATGGTACTATGGCAACATATAGAATATATATGGGGCAAGATATATATTTATATACATGCACAACTGAGAACTGAGTGCATATGGGATGATATATATGTGAGAGGGGTATAGACTATGTGAGGAAAACATCTATATTTCATATTGAGAAATGTTATTTATTAACAACACTGGCTTCTTATATGTAACTTATTACATTATTTTGTAAACATTTTTCACTCCAACCAAATATTTTTTTTTATTTTTTTCATTTAATAATCTATACATATGCAAATTAAAAATACATTAAATTATTACTTTCTAGGACAACCGAAATACTAGGAATCTGGGTATTGGGATTTTGGTTTTCAAACCACTTGATAGAAGAGGTTAATTTAGCATTGCATGGTTTGTGCATAGGCTCATGGCCCACAATTCCGCAATAAAGCCCACAATTCCATAATGTTCTACAGACCTGAATATATTTTGTGCTAGGCTACACAGCATGTGGGCTTGGCTGGGCTGGCAGTGGAATGAATGTCCGTGAACATGTTTGCAGATGAACACAGGGTTAGGTGAGACACTGCTCGTTACATTAATAAAGTGCATGTCACTGGTGGCATTCAGCAGACTTCATAAAGAAGATAGTTATTTTGCAGCGTGCTGTTATTTTGAACGTGTTTCAGTTTACCTTCTTAGTGTTGTCCATCCAGGAAAAGACACTGCTTCCTGATTGCTTATTTTGTGAATTCCTGTTATGTAATATGTCCTTAACCACAGCTTCCTGCTTGTTCCAAAACATTTTATTTTTTTTTAAATGTGTTGCTCATAAAAACCATGGTTTCTTTTCATAAATAGTATTCATCATTTCAGTTTGACTTATTTGTAACTAGAGTGTCCTTATAAGTAAAAAAAAAAGTGATTTAAAAAAAAAAGTATAATACAAAACACAAACAATAATAAAGATACTATAAAACACAAAAACAGTCATGTATCTATTATTCAGTTCTATGAATTTATATCAATTTTCACTCATTCGTACTCTAGGGACCTCCCGTTGGCACTCTCCATAAGGCTATAAATCGTTATTCTTAGAAATTGTTTTTTCGCTATTTTTTTTATTAATTGGGTCAATCCCTTAACCTTTTGCTCAGGTTCGAACAATTTTCAGGGCTTCTAGTTTGTTTATAAGATCTATAAGTATTTGATCTATCTTATCATCGTTATTATTATAATTAATTGCTTTTTCCATCCCAAATTAATATAAAAGTTGGGCTTTAAGTTGGATAAATGTTAGACAAGTATTTCTCTTCCAGCCTCTCGCTATCAAGATTTTGGCTGCCATCATAGAGTATGTAAGAATAATCCTGGTTTTAGCATTTACTGTTCCCCAATCTAAATGTAATAAGGCTACTTCAGGTTTTCTGTGTAAATAGATATTCCCTATATTCTGAATTGTTGTATATACTGCGTTCCAAAGTGGGTTAATATGTGGAGAACTCCACCAAACATTGAATATGGTACCTTCGGCTTAATTGCCTCTCCAACAAATTGGGGAGTTAATTGCTGTTATTCTTGATAGTTTTTTTGGTACCATCTATGCATTGTTTTTACATGTGTTTACAAATTGCCCAAATAATGCACAACTCTTTTTTTTTTTTATTCAAAGACGGGCACTATTCTGTATAAGGTATACTTATCCCCAATTCCTTCTCCCATTTTTTTTAAAGCTGGAGGATGGACTGTTGAAAATATGGACTTTAATAGCGTAACTAGCGCGAGAGTAAGCCATTTTAATTGTTTTGCCACAGAATATTATCTTAATAAGGCCCTTCTCTTCCTCTTGTGTTTTAAGAATATGATCTTTCAAGAAACATTTGATTCTCAAATATTTGAATATTTTTCTATTTGGAAGATCTAATTTTGTTTTAGATCTGTAAAGGGTAAAATATGATACATTTTACATCAATCTTTTATCTTCACTCCCTGCGATTTATAAAAGTCTGGGATAAATCTCCCTAAGAGGTCAATGTTGATCCCGTCAATTGTTTTACCTGTAAATTTTAGCTCTTTTTTGATAATTCTCCACTGCTTTATTGTATGTTGTAGGACCATTGGGTTGTCTTGTTAGAGTAAGGTTATACGAATATCGTGTATTTATATGTTAATGGCAGTATCACAAATATAAATATTGTGTATGGAAAAACTTAAAACCCTCTTTATTAAAAAAAATTTAGGTGGACTAATCGCCAAAGTATCAGCTGTTATTTGTACATGCGATCTTGCTTTTGCGAATACATATCTTGAACTTGCTGAAAACAAAGTACATATACTAAATGTACATAAAAGCAAGACAAAATCAACACACATAGTTTTTGAAGCCGTAAAGCTATGTGTTGAAGACTTTATTAATAATGAATAATCCAAAGTAATTTCATACTGTGCCATCACCGTCTGTATGATTTACCAACGGAGTATCTTTTTTAAGTTGCATTTCTTTTTTTCAACTTCAAACTTCATGTTATATTGTCCAAACATTGGTGTGGATTAATCTCTGCTGCACATCATAATTTTGTTGGAGGTAACAATAAATATAAGCTTACTTTTATCCATCATCCTGTGAGTGGTTCTAGGTAGGGACCCAGTGCACTGCTTTGCCTGTGGGGCCTATAATGCTGTTAAGACAGCCATGAGTAGAGACAATATTGTTAAGCTTTTCAAGATAATGCAGAAGTATCTACTGAGGATGGTCATAGCTAAACGACCCTTAAATGTAATTAATTTGATGCTAAACACCAGGATTTCAAGAGACGTTTTAGCCAATCCTTTATCTAGATGTTTCAAGAGGTTTTTGGAATTCATAGTTCAACTAAACATGAACTAAACTACTATGCAAACAGGAGCCACTGGGGAGATTCTTTGCGGTTACAATTTAGCATATATTCCAGAATATTTTAAAGGGACACTCCAGACATTTAACTACCTATGCATCTTGTGTTGGATATAGTACAAGTAGGTCCACTTTTCTTGTCTCTTTGTGTGTAGTGTCTGATAACTGCAGTAATTTGCTAAAACCGCTATAAGCCTGCCCCTTTTGATGTTTAAAGAGAATTGTCCACTTACTCTTTTGCTAAATTTGTGACAATCTGCCGTAAAATGTGGGGATAACATTTTATTATTTGGAATCACATTGCACACAAAGTTTTTAGCTTTTCTGTTCAAGAGATATGATTAAATGGAACTGCATATCAGGCAAGGGTTTGTGGTGTAAGTTTATACCACACCGTCCAAAAGGAGAGTCTTCTGATTGGTGAACTGGTCTCAGAAAGGGTTTTCTGCTATTGCTAGGAATGGCAACAGGCACTTTATTATTATTTTTCTATTGCTTTCTTTAACCCCTTAAGGTCTGAGCCAAATGTACACGTTGTGAACAAAACAAAACATAAACAAAACCTGGCATTTGCGCTATGTGTCTGTCCAACTGTAATTCACCTCTTTCATATTAAATGCACCCACCCTTATTATATATAATTTTATTCAGGGGAAACAGGGCTTTCATTTAACATCAAATATTTAGGTATGGAACATAATTTAATATGACAACAATGGGAGAAAATAAGATTTTTATTTTCTTAGTTCTACGTGACATTTTAACTGAGAATGGCAAACTACTGTTTGCTTTTACTGCAAAAAAATACACATATTTGTATTCAGTGATGTCTCACATGTAAAACAGTACCCCTATGTACAGGTTTTATGGTGTTTTGGGAAGTTACAGGGTCAAATATAGCGTGTTACATTTTTCAGTTTTTTCACATTGAAATTCGCCAGATTGGTTACGTTGCCTTTGAGACCATATGGTAGCCCAGGAATAAGAATAACCCCCATGATGGCATACCATTTGCAAAAGTAGACAACCCAAGATATTGCAAATGGGGTATGTCCAGTCTTTTTTAGTAGCCACTTGGTCACAAACACTGGCCAAAGTTAGTGTTAATATTTGAAAATGTAAAAAACTAATTTGAACGCCAATTTTGGCCAGTGTTTGTGACTAAGTGGCTACTAAAAAGACTGAACATACCCCATTTGCAATACCCTGGGTTGTCTACTATTGCAAATGGTATGCCATCATGGGCGTAATTTTCATTCTTGGGCTACCATAGGGTCTCAAAGGCAACATAACCAACCTGGCGAATTTTAATGTGAAAAAACTGAAACGCAAACCTTATATTTGACTCTGTAACTTTTAAAAAACACCATAAAACCTGTACATGAGGGGTACTGTTATACTCGGGAGACTTCGCTGAACACAAATATTAGTGTTTCAAAACAGTAAAACGTTTCACAACAATTATATCGTCAGTGTAAGTGCCATTTGTGTGTGAAAAATGCAAAAAATTTCACTGTCACTGACGATATCGTCGTTGTAATACATTTTACTGTTTTGAAACACTAATATTTGTGTTCAGTGAAGTCTTCTGAGTAAATAAGTACCCCCCATGTACAGGTTTTATAGTGTCTTGGAAAGTTACAGGGTTAAATATAGTGCTAGCAAATTAAATTCCCTGAACTTTCGGCCTGCGTTGTCAGGCAGGTCCTGCAAATTGTAATTAATAAACTGAGCTAATTATGTAAAATTATTACATAAATATATACGTTGAAGTATTATATATATATATATATATATATATATATATATATATATGTGTGTGTGTGTGTGTGTGTGTGTGTGTATATATATATATGTATATATGTATATATATATATATATATATATGTATATAATTTTTTTAAATAATTTTTATTTATATATAGGTATATATATATATATATATATAGTGATATATACTTATATACTTATGTATATAGATATATATATTATTTCGTTCTACATGTATTTTGATATCAATATATATATATTAATTTTAAAATACAGTTAGAACGAAATTACACATATATTACACATATATATATATTTTAATTTTTGTTAATTTTTTTTTTAAATTCTTTATTTTTCATGTGCTCAGATTAACAACTGGCGCGCAGAGCCACGACAGCTTCTGCACACATTTTCATAACATTTTACAGTGTAGACAGCACTTTTTTTTTTTTTTTTTTATATATATATGACATGAGGAATACAGGTAGTTAAACATAAAGATAGTATTGTTTAGCATGCTAGATTGAACGTGCATTTGTCCTGACTAGTAGCCCTGAGGTTTGTATGTCCAAGGTATTGCATCACTAGTAACGACAGCTATAATGGTAGGATATATGTTGCACGTTATGAATTATTTATGAAGGCTTAATAAACATCACGTTGAAGCTAAATTAAAGTAACAGTTAACGCTTTCTACAATGGCATCTGGGGAGTTAATATTGCTGAAGTCTGGGGGACAAGCCTGAACTTAGTACTGTCACTAAAAAGAACACCTGAGGTCCCCTGTGGCATTAATCTAGCAAGTGATTTACAGTGTCGGGAATCTATGCCAAGTAAAGACAGTGTTATTTAAGGTAGAGGCAAAAGACTTATGCAGGATCTCTGATTGCTAAGTATCATCAGCATAACAGGGGCATTTCAATTTGATAAAGGCTTTATGCTAACAATTTAGGCTGGGGATGATTCACTTCAGTCAAATAAAATACATACATTAAATGCAAGACTATAATAGAGTAGTGAGTAATAGGTTAGTTGTTGCTTGCAGGGTTTAATAGGATTCTCCAGTGCCAGTGAGCGGGTAAGCTTTTGTAGTTTCCGGTCAATGGGAGAGAGAGTCTCTGCCTGATAAGCAGGGTCGCCAGCTGTGGGCAGTGCTCTGTGTTTGCAACAGTCCAGTCTGCCTTAGCCTATGCCCTTCCTCGAAGCCTTGTCTGTATACCTGGGACAATGACTCGGTTGTCGGAATAGTGTTTCTGCCATCCCTCTTCACAAGTGTAAAGACCCAGTTGTCGGGCTTGTTTGCTCGCATTGGTGCTGGGATGCTTGTGGGCGAATTGGGTGTAATCTGCTATTGGCTGCCTATTGTTCATTTGCCCACGCTGGTTGGACACCGCCTGGGCGGGCCTGCCGGTTCTTTACGTGTACCGGTTTGTGTTGAGGCTTGGGGTGGCTGTCTGTTTCTCCCAGAGCGCTGCTGTTGCAGTCTGGCTCGTTCGCGGTGGTTTTCTCGTTGGCGGGAGGCGGTGCCTGCCGCAACGCCACTTTCTGGCATGCTTGTTTAGGCGTGGAGCTTGTTTAAGGTAAGCTTGAGGGGGCACTGCCAGCGTTAGTTTCTTAGCTGGGTCGCTCGTAGCAGCTTGTCGCTCACCGATTTTCCTCCAGAAAGCCTTGAAAAGTGCGTCAATTCGCTTTAGAGTCTCTGTTAACTGTTTAGGTGAGGCAGTGTTGTCCGCCATTTTGGAGGCCCCAACTCCCGCCTTGATTGGTAGGGTCGCGGGCTTGGTCGTGGGGCATGGGGTCAGCTCTTCTCCTCCGGGCGGGGACTGGGATCTCCCCCACCGGTCTATAGGGGCGGGGGAAGTGTTTCAGTGTCGCTTGCGGCTGTTTGCACTCGGCGGGGAATCAGCCGTCTTCCCTCGCCACCTCCCAAGGTAGGCCCCATGCTGCCGTTTTGGTGTCCGGTCTTCCCGGTCATCGGGTTTGGTCTCATCAGGTTCTGGTAGGTGACCTCCGTGTCATGGGCTCCTTTGTAGGAGGGTTGTGGCATAACAGCTTGAGAAATTGGCAGATTTTTGGCTCTTGTGGCAGGAGCTCCTACAGAGCACGTCCAGCCAGCTTGCCAGTCAGGCTCCACCCCCTATTTTTATTTATTTTTTATTATTTTTTTTATTTATTTATTAACGTATTTACATATTTATTTATTTTAGAATATATATAAATATATATATAAATGAAAATGATATATATATTTAATCAATATCATTGTACGTGTATTTTGATATTAATATAAATATATATATAATTATGTATATATTAATATTAAAATACACTTAGACAGTGTATGTGTGTATATGTATGTATATATACTTAGATCATATATATAATAAATGTATATATGATCTAAGTATATATTATTTAATTTTACACTGTTTTAACTTATTTTATTTCATTTTCAGACAGCAGGGTGAGTACCTGTCATAACAGGCACTCCCCTTGCTGGCAGTGCCTTGGACGGCTATGCGATCCATGTGATCGCGAGGTCCTCGCAAGGACCTCTCGATCCCAGGGCACAGAGGGGCTGAAGAGGACGGAGGGGGACTCCCTGGGCTCTCAGGTAAATCCCCATACTGACGCCGGCGACCGAGTAGGTACATAAGATCGCAGAGCGTTCTAGGCCGCCCTGCGGCGTTTAGAGCCATCAAAATTGGGACGGCATAGAACGCCCTGCGGTCTTAAGGGGTTAAATCACTTTGTTTCTGTTTATGCAGCCCTTGCCACACCTCCCCTGGCTCTGATTGACAAAGCCTGCATGGAAAAAAAAACTGGTTTCACTTTCAAACAGATGTAATTTACCTGAAACAATTGTATCTCTTGCTCTGTAAATTGATCTTTAATCACATACAGGAGACTTTTGCAGGGTCTAGCAAGCTATTAATATAGCGGGGGAAAAGAAAATCTAAATTAAATAGAACTTGCAATAAAGGAAGGATAAACATTAGATGACTCTTTACATGAAGTGTTTAGGAAGGCTGTGCAAGTAACATGCGGGGAGGTGTGACTAGGGTTCATAAACAAAGTGATTTAACTCCTAAAGATAATTAAGCAGTGAGACTGCAGGGGCATGATCTATACACCAAAACTGTTTCATTAAGCTAACGTTGTTTTGGTGACTATAGTGTCCCTTTAATTCCGCAGACTGCTGGAATGCAAGATCTTCGAAACATGAAATGGTCTCTCAATTTTGCAATATTTGGATTGTCTTCATTAAGTAAACCATCCTACGTATCAACGTGTTGTTGATATATTAGAAAAAGAAAATTGTAATAATAAACTGGACTCAGTGGATGCCAAACTCTTTGGAACCTAATAATTGGCTCCTGGTGTGCAGAGTTAAGAGAATTTCTTCTGTGGCTTGTATAGAATGTTGGCATTTGTTCCCCACTCTGCACAGCAGGGAAAGCTCAAGGCTGCAGAGTAAACAATAATTGCATTATTTTATGTCTGCGTTGCTCATGTACAAACAATACAATGTTAATTCCTGATGTCTATCACACAATGACTCTGTAAACAACTTTTTATCAATGTGTTCAATGAAAAGCAGAAAGTGCTTCTATTATGGTCCCAAAAGTACAATTTCAAGGAAAATCACAACTCCTGTGCAGAGACGCGTATCACACTCAGTTCATTGAACATTGCAGGAGTTGCAGCTAAGTGTTAAGCAGAAAGACCAATAAATCATTTCCTTCAAAGTTTCTCACCATTTCTCATTCCCCCCTCAATTATTTGCTTTGTCTGAGCTGTTATTTAATTGTCTTGGCTGAGAAGCTCTTTTTAAAATGTATTACTATTTCACTAGTATTGAAATGTAAAAACAATTGCTTAAATAGGACTTCTATGTACTAATACTATGGCAATGCCAATCTCTCACTTTAGTTAACATGTTAAAATATTCCTGGTGTCACACTATAGCATAGTTACTGATATTAGTCATTCATGGGGTTACTCAATATCCAAGCATGAGTATGTGTGTCAAAAAGGAAAGAATGTTTCATAACAAAACCACAAATTTTAGCAATGTATCCATGTCCTGCCAACTCACCCGAGGATACATGGTAAAAAACATGATTTGTTAACAGATGGAACATCATAACACAACTTCTAGGAACCACAGAACCTCAGTGCCCTGGAACTGCATGGAGGAGGCTGGGGAGAGGACACTCAGGGTAAGGAGTGATCTGTCATGCTAAGGGATGGGCTCATGGACAATGCCGGACTGGGAAGAAAATTCGGCCCGGGCATTTTTTTAATCACAGAGGCTAACTGAAAAGGAGGCGGGGCAGTTAGGGTGTGTTTTGTCATCACCAATGAAAAGCACGCCCCATCACAAAGTGAGCATGTTGGTTCAATTCTCGTTTAGGGCAGACCATGCGCAGAGCTAGGCTGAAAAGCTCTAGCATGAGAAAAAGGCCCTGTGTTTGTTCTGCACAGCACAAGTAGATTTGATAACATGCTTGCACTGTGTTTGCTTGAAATTTGTCTCTGGTGTCTATATAGATGGGATACCAGGAGACAAAAATGCCAGGAAAGAGTATTGTGCAGTGTGTGTGTGTGTGTGTGTGTGTGTGTGTGTGTGTGCGCGTGCAAGAGGGGTGCAGTGTGTGTGAGGGTGCTGTGTGTGTTAGGGGTGCAGTGTGTGTGCTGTGTGTGAGTGATGGGTGCAGTGTGTGTGTGAGGGTGCTGTGTTAGAGTGAGGGTCCTATGTGCGTGTGAAGAAGCTGTGTGTGTGAGGGTGCTGTGAGTGTCAGGGGTGCAGTGTGTGTGTGTGAGTGAGGGTGCTGTGAGTGTCAGGGGTCTAGTGTGTGTGTGTGTGAGTAAGGGTGCTCTGAGTGTCAGGGGTGTAGTATGTGTGTGTGCAAGAGGGGTGCAGTGTGTGTGTGAGGGTGCTGTGTGGGTAAAGGTGCTGTGTGTTTAAGGGGTGCAGTGTGTGTGTGTGTGTGTGTGTGTGTGAGGGTGCTGTGTTTGAGTGAGGGTGCTATGTGCGTGTGAGTGAGGGTGCTGTGAGTGCCAGGGGTGCAGTGTATGAGTGTGTATGAGTGAGGGTGCTGTGAATGCCAGGGGTGCAGTGTGTGTGCGTGTGCTGTGAGTGTCAGTGGTGCAGTGTGTGTGTGTGTGTGTGAGTAAGGGTGCTGTTAGAGCCAGGGGTGCAGTGTGTGTGAGTAAGGGTGCTGTGAGTGCCAGGGGTGCAGGGTGTGTGTGTGTGAGTGAGGGTGCAAGGGGTGCAGTGTGTATGTGTGAGTGAGGGTGCTGGTGTATGAATATGTTTGGAGGGCCTGTGTGTTGGGGGGGTCGGGGGCAGATTATTATCTATATCAGGCTTCTTGGGGAAGCCTGATCTATATATTAGTAAAAAAATAAATAAAGAAGGATTGATTATATCCCCACTCCCTTCTTACCTTTAGACTGGGAGAGGGGACCGTGCTGCTATCCCTGGTGGTGCTAGTGGTGAGTGAACTCTAGCCATGGCAATGATCCGGATCTCGCGAGAGGAACCTGAGGGAGCTGCAAGATAGAGCTCCTCCGAGTTCCTCTCCTGTCTCCCTCCCTCCCCAGCCGGCGGCCGAATCACACTGCATGTGGGCCCATGAGGGAGATCTTTGATCTCCCCACTGGCCAGTCATGGAAACCAGCGGGGCAGACAATCTGTCAGGGGCATGGAACTATGGTTTGGGGGGAGCAGATAAAAGACTTGCCAGTGAGCACCTAATTGCTCTGCAGTACTGCATGTGGACAAGCATATGTTTTATTCTGCATCTTTACTCCATGGAATCCTGGATATAAGCATGTTCCCACACCGCTCAGAATTGTAAACTGCAACAGAAGTATACTTACCCTGGGGCACCCAGGGTGAAAAAAGTAAAAGGGTTGCACAGAGCACCCCCTTCCACCAGAGCAGGCACCTGCCTGCTGGCACATTACTGGCCAAGTTACCTGCTCTACAGCAGTCCTGGAACTTGATGCAGCAAGAGGACTGCTGGGATCTCTCTGCACTGAGTGTCAGGCTCCTTCACATGCACTGTAGTGATGGTAGGAGCCAGTATGGGACGTCATCCCAGCCCCAGCTTGGACCCAGGCATATGGTTCCACTCCACCTCCCTTTTGAGGATCTCACTGTGGAAATAAATAGAATATCAATTAAGTGTGTGTATGAATGTTTGTAAGTCTGTGCGTATATGTATGGATGTGTGTGCTTATACGTTTCCAATTGTTTTTGCATGAGTCTTTGCGTTTATTAATGAAAGTGTCTATATATGTGTCCATGTGTGTGTGTGTCTGTATATATGAATGCAAGTATGTGTGAATATAAATGTCTATGTATATGAATGTACATTTCTTCCAGGTTGCCATGCAATCTAGGTATGCTACTGAGGCACTACATCCAAAACCTATACTGGCAGCTCCTTTGTAAAAAGTCATAACTGAGTTAAACTTACTTATAGCTCAAATGACTCTCAATGATTGGCTCGGTGTGGCATTTTGCCGCTCATGCACGCTGGACTCCAAATGCATCACTGGGGAAGCATTGGTGTTACGAAAGCCCCTCTGTATGCTGCAAGACTATCGCTTTCTTTACCCTTGTTGCTATTTGACACTACAATGGATACTTTTACTGTTATTTCTATCTGGATACTATTTCTACCCTGTTATACAAATGATCCTGGGTACTCATTCGTACATATGAACAGCCGACCACCCAGCCATTGGCGTGTGCCGCCACTTAACCCCAGTCACCTTTGAAATCACCGAAAGACCTGAGTGTGCCTTTAATTAACCTCCAGGGAGCTGCGGTTTGCGGTTAACCGCAACCTAATTCACTGGCCTCAGGGTGGCCCCGTTCGGATAAAATTAGGCGAATGGAGCACGTACCCCAAACCGACTAAAGGACTACCGAACGATGACCACCTACCATCTGGCGTGTGGCCTCAATTAACATGTGGTTTCTGCGGGTAACCACAAGTTAAATACCTCTTTCAAGGTGGGCGCCATTCGTATGCTGAACACGAGGTGGCGGCCATCTTTTGTTGTCGAATGCCCCAGTGGACCTAAGCCCCAAGCTCCTGGAACTAGAATCGGCCAAAGATTTGCACGAACTCCACCAAGGTGTCGGTTGTCCCATCCATTTGTGCCAAAACCTACGAACAGACTTTGTATTTCGTGACTTTCATATACCGTTCGTGAGATCTGAGCGCAATTTGTATATCTTGTGCGCTCAGATCTGAGCTATCCAGAGACTGGTTGAATGGGCTATGTTCGTATTAAAACCTAAAAGTTATGTATTTTTATGTTATTTTCATGTGGGTATAAAATGTGGTATTTCTATGCGCTTGGAGATAATTAGGTTTGTGTAACCGTTGAAACCAATTATCTCCAAGCTAGGCGGGAACATTTTCAAATGATAACTGTAATGCCATTGGTTGGGACATTGCATTGTCCAGTATACCATCAGGTCCAGAGGGGGTTGTCCCTGGACCTGATAACTATATAAATTGCCATGCATGAGTGCCATTAAATCAGCCTTGACTCGTGTTGTAGGGAACAGTGAATCATAGCTCTACTATAGCTAGTGGGATATTCGACATTTGCAGGTTTTGCCGATTGCAGCAGCGTTCGTCTCTCTGAGTTCGGGAACCGGGATAACCCATCGGTCCAACTTTCAGCTAGCCTGGAGGCAACCGTAACAATTAGATTGGCTGAGATCATCGAGACTGATAATCTCAGCCATGGAGGCAGTTCACCAGAATGCAGACCCCCTGCAAGGGGTGGAGTGGACATCTATATACGTAGTAAACACTACAGGGTTAGGAACACATGTTTGTATTTCTAACTCTCTAGTGTTCCTTTAATAAGTGTCCCCTCCTGACTTATATGTTAATATTAGCTGTGAACAATGGAGGGAAGCTTTATCTTTAGTTTCTAAAAAATATTCAATGTCTTAATTTAGTTCAATGCCAATATTAATTGGCAAATAGATTGTATTTGGTGCACAGCAGAATGAGTAAATTTATTCACAATCAGGTTCATATATGCTGGCGCTGCAACATAGAAAGAGGGGACATATATGGTGGGATTGTGGTCCACTTCAGCTATTTTGGAAGATATTGCATAAGATTAAAATCTTAACTTCTATAAATTTGGGGTTCTCTCCCCAAATATTTCTCATCCAATTAAATATTAGATAATTATGCGGTAATTTAGCACCCTTCGTAATTCAAGTATTAGTAGCGCAGGGCGGGGAGCTCTCCTCCTCCTCTCCACCTCTGATCCTCCTCTTCGGCTGAATGCGCATGTGCGGCAGCAGCTGCGCGCGCATTCAGCCAGTCTCATAGGAAAGCATTCATAATGCTTTCCTTTGGACGCTGGCATCTTCTCACCGTGATTTTCACAGTGAGAAGCACGCAAATGCCTCTAGCGGCTGTCAATGAGACAGCCACTAGAGGCTTTAGAGGCTGGATTAACCCATTTATAAACATAGCAGTTTCTCTGAAACTGCTATGTTTATAAAAAAAAGCGTTAATCCTAGAGGGACCTGGCACCCAGACCACTTCATTAAGCTGAAGTGGTCTGGGTGCCTAGAGTGGTCTTTTAACGCAATGTATTTGTGTAAGTATTAAAATATCTAATAAAGATTATACATTTTAAAAAAGTTACCCCTCCTCAATGTGATTTCCATTCTGAACGTCTCACACAGGACATTTGCATTTAGTGTTCAGGGGATGGAGCCAATATTGGAATTTTGCAATCCTTTTCTGTTGTTTACACAAGAGATGAACATTTCTCAAGCACATTGTGCAGTACAATTGCCTTGTAGGCTTTTTTAAAACTAACTTTCTGATAATCTGTCTTGCTGAGCAAACAAATTGAAGCATTGTTCCCTTCCTTGAATTGTCCAGTTTCTGCAGGTCTTGCTAAATACTCTCCAAGATCTACAAAAGACAACACTTTTTAAAAAAATATATATTTTGTTTTTGTGCCAGTGCTTATTTAAAATTAAGAATATATACGTGAACAGTGGTCAACGTCTCCAGTTTCAGTAGAAGCTCTTGGGATCTATCCACAGGAACACGCTGCACCTTTTAGCAGGTTTCTGTGTGAAGATTGTAAAGGTCAGTGGAGATTTTTGTAAATCTATTAGAAAACAGGAAAGTTACACTAACTTCTTTTAAGACGCCTTTTAAACTCTTTATGTCAGGATTCATACAACGGATGTCATGAACATGTTAATTTCCTTAACCCCATGTCCTGGACACACCCAACACACTAAGTTATTTATTGCACTAAACTTTTTTAGAAAGAAAATGTAGTTTCACCAAAGAATCGTAACTCCATAAACATCAACTTTTTTTTTTTCACTTACAACTATTTACATATTATTTAGTCATAGCTGGATTGTGTCCTTAACAAGCACACCACAAATGGTTCTATTAATCCTTTCACTCTCAAGTCCTTTTCTTTAAAAACATAATTAGCATAAAAAACATGGGATGCATATCCATTTAAAAATAAGTGTGAAATAAAAGATTTAGTACCCTATTTAGTCAATGCATTTCATATACAGACTATACTTTATCAAAGCCTGTTAGATGTACTTTGTATATATAATATACTTTGTCAAGGTCTTGTTAGAGTATACTGCATGTATAAAATGTATTAAACAGGTAGTGTTTCTTTCAACTCTGCAAAATCATAAGACGTTAATTGTGGCACACTTTTCATGCATTGTTTTTAGTATTCTATAGTCAGGATGCTACCTAGAAATGTTTCTCTGTAGTTGAGTTTGAATAGTTACACATAACATGTCAAAGTAATATCTCATGGTGTTTTATCACATATTCTTATTTGATGATCTTCTTCGATGATCTGTATAGTTAACAGGACAATTTTAGCCCCATCACCACTACATGTTCTGTAGTGGTTATAATGCCAGGAGTCCTTGGATGCAATCTGTCAAACCATTTCTGAACATTTTGAATGCAGACTTTGCTATGTCAGGTGCCACCGTCATTCCGATCTGAGCTGATCTGATGAAACAGAAATGTATATATTCTAATAACAACTCCTACCAAGTTTAAATGGTATTCAGTACGTGAGAGTGTTGGGCAACATGTTGTTGTTGTTATGTTGCCTAATGTGTCCCTTTAACCAAACCCTTGTAGTTTGCCAGTATTGTTTAATGTGATATGCTACTTTGAACTACTCAATACAAATTAAATTACAAAATAAAAATGTAGAAAACTTGATTTTTTTTTTTTAAAGACAATGTTTGTGTACAAGTTGTGATTACTGTTTTGCAAAAAACGAACACTGTAAACAGCAAGCTCTAGTGTTATAGGAAGTAATGCGTATCATTAACAGTGGATTCACAGATAGTTAATGAACTAAAAAGGCAACATTTTAGAGATTTAACTGTTCAGTTATAAAAAGAGAACGTCACAGCTACATGTATTAATATATATTTTTTACATTTATTGGTTAATCCTTGGTGAAAATATTGGAAGAAATGCAATAAGACGTTGCGGTTTGTTTGGTATCTCTCTTCTAACCCTCCTTCAAACTTACTCTGAAGGGATTGCACAAAGTCAAAACTATTATTTTTGAACAAGCCAGAGATTTGACATTATAAAAAGTTATATACATATTGAGGAAAGCTTTATCAAAGCTCTGAAATGCTGCTCACGATCTGCATCTACTTTTGGGAATTCAGATTCCTGAAATTTGTTCTAATTTCTAAGTTGTGGATGAATGTAAATGCAGTACATAATAACACAAGCAAAAAGGCTACGAAAAAGATTGTTAGTTGTAATTTCAGACATAAAAAATTCTCAAATGACCCATTTTGTTCCAGAACTTTCTCTTTTCATTCCTTGTAAGGGCACTGTGACATGAGTGTGCAGGAGAAGAGACTTCATGTGTCACGTCAGCTACTTAACCAGAATTTTCTGAAAAAAATCACATAGTTGGAGAATGTTTCCAATTAATATATTTTGGGCTAATTGAGACAATTTCCTTCTTATGGCCCAACAATGATGTTTCTTGAATAACTGATAGAAAGACACCATGGTATCTGATATGGGAAATGTAATTTATCTGCCAGGTAAAGAGGACTGTAGGACCATCAGAAAAGTTTAGTTTTAATTAATTTAACTCTTTCATTCATTGATTTGCTTTGAAAATGTAAGGAAACAATATTTGTTATTCACACAGTATTTTTGTTCTCCCTCCATTTAAATGCAGATACTTCTGAAACAAGTGATTGGTGGCTGTGATGCTGTTAGTGAGTAGAAAATGAACATTCGGTAGGTATCGGGATATTCCAAACTTCTCAAATTCTGTTTCTTACCTGTTGCCTGCTAAATATTGAATGTATGTTTATATAAATATGTGCTGTTTCCCCACAATTTAGCATGTAGTTGCTGCTGTAAGTCCTGGCAGATGCTAGTTCATATGACGCCCTCTCGCAGTCATATTATTTATTGGGTTTCCATCCATTTACCCCATTGCATCTCTGCCACCCATGTAGGAGAACCCACTAGTAATAAATTAAGCTTCTCATGGCATAGCCAAGAGTCATAATGCTCATGGAAAAAGCAAAACAATAGGCTACTGGGCCTAGCATCATCAAAAAATTAAGGCAAACTATTGCTGAAGTGCCTAAGGTAGCTCTTGTATATTGGGTGTGAGACCCATGCTCACAAGCACACAGAGCTTACAACACCAGCCGTCAGAGGAAGAAACCAAGCCAAAAGGCTCACATGTCTGGAATGACTTGACCTGCAGTACATACTTGTGTCAACATAGCTAATTTGTCAAGGGAAATGTGACTCAGTAGGGACAGTGCTTTAACCCCTTAGTGACCAGACCGTTTTTCAATTTTCCTACTGTTAAGGACCAGGGCTCTTTTTAAATTTCTGCAGTGTTTGTGGTTAACTGTAATTTTCCTCTTACTCATTTACTGTACCCACACATATTGTATACCGTTTTTCTCGCCATTAAATGGTCTTTCTAAAGATACCATTATTTTCATAATATAATTTACTATAAAAAAATTATAAAATATGATGAAAAAATTAAAAAAAACACTTTTTCTTATTTTTACCCCCAAAATCGTTTATGCATCTAGAACCGCCAAAAAAAACACCCATGATAAATAGTTCATAAATTTTGTCCTGAGTTTAGAAATACCTAATGTTAACATATTCTTAGCTTTTTTTTTGCAAGTTATAGGGCAATATGTACAAAAAGCACTTTGCTATTTCAAAACCATTTTTTTTTCAAAATTAACGCAAGTTACATTGTAACACTGATATCTGTCAGGAATCCCTGAATACCCCTATATATATTTATATTTTATAAAAGAAGACAACCTAAGGTATTAACTTGGGGTATTTTGACTCTTCTCATGCAACCATTTTACCACCAATCTATGCCAAATTTTTTATTTATTTTTTAAATTTAAGAATACATGTACAGAGAACTTTAAGGATTACTGCCAAAGAACACCCCAATATGTGTTCAGCAACATCTCCTGAGTACAGTGATGCCACCCATGTATAGGTGTATCGGGTTCTCTGGGGGCTAAAATACCTTATTTGGAGGGTGCGCATTCCAGTTTTCCAACTTGGAATTTTCACAGCTGGTCATCACACACCCATGTCATATTTGGGACATTTTTGAAGCCGGCCAATGTAATTTACCCCCATCAACCCATATATTTTTTAAAAGTAGATGCCCTAGGGTATTTCAAATGGTGGTATTTTAACACTTCCCATGCAATAATTCTACCACCAGTCTTTGTCAAACTTTTGGGTAGTCATTTTTTTGTGTTATTTTTCCACACGCATTCTACTTTAGGCATGGATTCTCAGCTACTGTTAGGTGTTACTGCCAAAGAACATTCCAATATGTGTTCAGCAACATCTCCTGAGTACAGTGATACCACATATGCATAGGTTTGTTGGGCTGTATGGGGGGGTGCAATGCCAAACATCTGACGTGTTTTTAAAATCTGACATATCTTCTTTTTTTTTTACATATCCCAATTTATTTTCTTGCCATGAGCGTGTATATATTTGAAAAGTTGACATCCCACGGTATTGTATATGGAGTGTTTTGATGCCTTTGATGCAATAGTTTTAGTCAGAAAATTGGAGAAAATGTGTGGTGGTAATTTTTACATTTTCATTTTTACACACACATTTGTGAATGATTTAGAGGAGCCTGTTGTTGGTTATTGCAAGAAAACACTCCAGATTGTTTTCTGCAAGGCCTCCCGAGTACACCCATGCCCCCCATGAATGTTTGCCAGGATTTTGGGAAGGTTCAGTTACAATTGTATGACTTGTCATTTGAGTTGAAATTGAGAGTATTTCTTCTGATAGGCCTATCTTTAGCTTGGGGCTTATCACATACCCCAGTTTTATTTATTGCCATGAAAGTGTATATATTTGAAATGTAGACACCCCGCGGTTTGTATATGGAGTGCTTTGATCCAACCGTTTTAGCCCAAAAAATTGGAGGTAATTTTTCAATTTTCATTTTTACACACACATTTCTTTTTAACTGTAATTTAGGAGAGCCTGTTCTTGGTTATTGCAAGAAAACACTCCAGGTAAAAAAAAACTAAACAACTGAACGGCAAATGTTTAAAAAAAAAAAAAAAAGGACCTGTGTGTGGTATGCTTTAAAGCAGTCTGCAGTCGGGAAGAGGTTAAAGTGGCTCTGTTACCACTTCTCCTCCCCCGACCCCCCTTCCCATTCAAAATTAGTATTTCATAAAGATATAATCTTTATGAAATACCTTGAATTTAAAATTCACTTTAAACTCACTCTGTATTCTCACTATAGTGAATAATCCTGAAAAAAAATCTGTTTGGGGAAGCTTAATTTAATAAAATGTATAAAATATTACAAGTGGCGTAAACACTGTCTATAACATAATTAAATAGAAGATGTTTTTTTAAAACGCAAAATAAGCAGACTAGGAAAGCCACTTATCTTTTATCCTTATTTAAATGTTTAACCTGATTAGCAAGATTACAATTGCACAATCATTTGGCTTAAAATCAGTTTGTTATATCAATGGTAGCTTTTTTCTGGTCAAGCAGGCTTTTTATATAATAAGGTGGATGAGGTAAAAACAAGGGTAGGTAAGCAAAGAGTCACTGGGCTGTATGATGCCAGCTGCAATATGAAAGACAATGCTGGAGTTGTTTTTTACAAGTATGAGCACTACAGAGTAAATATTGCTTAAATGAAACTGCTACAATTGAAGTAGAATTTAAGAGAATATTCCTTAACCCCTTGAGGACACATGACATGTGTGACATGTCATGATTCCCTTTTATTCCTGAAGTTTGGTCCTCAAGGTGTTAAAGGCCCACAGTTTAAAATTTCAAACCTAAGGCTTAAGCCAGGTCTGATATAAAACTGGAGATATTCTCCAAGTCAGCTATGATTTCAAAATTAAAAAGGGTACCACAGCTTCAGAAAATAGCCCTAACAATATTTTAAAAAGTTCTCAAACAAACAAAAAAATAGCAAATATGCCCCCTTAATTTAAAATATCAGAATTTTTTTAGGTAAAGAAAAATGAACCTCATGTTGAACAAGAAACAAATGATTTTTTAGGACAAAATCATTTATAACTAGACTGCTGCCCCCCAGATTCAGCCAATGAGGTCCACAAAAGAGGGTGTTACTAGGGGATGGAGAGGAAGCGAAATAACAAGAATGCAATACAGATGTTTAATTTAACTGACATCAAATCAAAGTTCTGAATAAGGGACTGAAGTATGCCCCTACTATAAAACCAGACGTATTCACTATTTTTTTTTTAGATTTCCATAAGTTTATGAGATCTTTAACACTGAAACATTGTTTTTTATTAATAATTCAATGGTCTCTATTGGCCAAGATTTCCTAATACAAAAAGGAGAGGACATATGAGTTTAAAAAAAAAAAGAAGAGGGACAGTGTCACCAGAGCACACACACGCTGCTGTGATTTAAAGGGACACTATAGTCAACAACTTCAGCTTAATGAGAAAATACAGTGTTTACATTGAAAGCTAGGAACACCTCCAGTTGCAGTCACTCAGAGTGAACCAGAGGGACTTCGGAGTTGATGGAGGCATAATATGCCTCCATCCACTCAGATCTGCTGTCAGCAGAGCACAGGGCAGCACTGTGCACAGCATCCTGTGATTCAGTATTTCATCCCTCTGCATGCAGGCACTTAACTTTCCTCATAGAGATTCATTGATTCAATTCATCTCTATAAGGAGATGCTGATTGGCCAGGGCTGTGTTTGAATCATGCTGGCTCTGCCCCTGGTCTGCCTCTTTGTCAGTCTCAGCCAATCTTATGGGGAAGCACTGTGATTGGATCAGGCTACCACATGTCAGCAGACTGCTTGTTTTTCTGAGTCTAACAGCATACAGATTTACAGCTTCACGCTTGAATACAGTAAGATTTTTACTATATTTATGGAGGCATGGGGGGCCCAGGGCGGCTTGATGGCAGTGTTAACGCTATAGGGTCAGGAATACATGTTTGTGTTCCTGACCCTATAGTGATCCTTTAAGCCTATCCTAACTGGCTTATACTATATTGCACTATATGTGTGCTGCTTTTCCACAGTATTCCAGTGTTCCAAAACCCCTGTAGGGGTAAGTGCAAACTACATAGACTAGCAGTGATTTCTTGTCACTCGTTTTTTGTTTGATTTGCATGTCACTGTGTGAAGAATAGGAAAAGCTTACACTTTTGTGGTAACTGATATAATTAAAAAATATATATTTTTCACTTATATCTAATTTTAAGCACCTTAAGCACATAGCAATTTGATTTCAAATATTTTGCTCAAGCCGGCTTGAACTAGATATTACAAATACCTAAAGTTCACTTTTTAGTTTATAAGCCTACTTATATATTAAAGGGACTCTCCAGTGCCAGGAAAACAAACCGTTTTCCTGGTACTGCAGGTCCCCTCTCCTCCCACCCCCATCCCAAGTTGCTGAAGGTTAAAATCCCTTCAGTGACGTACCCGTATCCAGCGCCGATGTCCCTCGGCGTTGAGTCAGGGTCCGCCCACGCTCCTCCCCCGCTGACGTCATCCAGTGGGGGAGACATATTGAGCATGCGCGGCAATGCTGCACACGCGCATTAGACATCCCCATAGGAAAGCATTGAGAAATGCTTTCAATGCTTTCCTATAAGGATTTCAGCAACGCTGGAGGTCCTCACATAGCGTGAGGACGTCCAGCGACGTTATAGCACACTTTTATGTGCTATAAACACGGAAGTGCCCTCTAGTGGCTGTCTATTACACAGCCACTAGAGTAGGAGTTAACCCTGCAAGGTAAATATTGCAGTTTATGAAAACTGCAATAATTACATTTGCAGGGTTAAGGGTAGTGGGAGTTGGCACCTAGACCACTCCAATGGGCAGAAGTGGTCTGGGTGCCTGGAGTGTCCCTTTAACAAATATTTTGGTTTTAAAATAATGGGGTCCTATACATATTATTTTTATTATTGTGTAAAAACCTCAACCAGGGACCATCAATCTGTCAGAGACATGAAACTGGTTGGGGTGGAGGGTGCAACTAAAGGACTTGCATCAATCGGGACTTTTATCAGTTTTATTGGTGGATGAGCTCTGAGTACCCAACAGATGATACTGACCGTTAAATCTTCCCCTTGCAGTTTATGTATAAGACCACGATTGGTTGTGCAGCAGGTGGCTAATTAAACCACGGTGGTTTAAATAATGTCATGTAGGACCCTTCAGTATGTTGTCCATGATGAGGGTTAGTTACCAGCATCAAAACATACGTTGGGCTATTTCTTATTTTCATTTTCACAGTCACTATGGGTAGCACTTGATCTTCGCTGTAAATAGTTATTTTTTCAAGATAAGGACAGGGATTAGGTAACGTATACCCATGAAGAGTGAGCTCCCATGTGCTGAGGTTTGCAGGGTTAGCTGGTATTTTTAGCTTCAGGACAAATAGACTACAGCACCTCTAGGCTTGGTGCTCCAGATGTTATGGATTGCATCTCCCATAATGCTCTGACAGGCATAATGCTGGCAAAGCATCAGGGGAGATGTAGTCCACAACAGTGACGACTCTAGAAGCAATATATAGGGGTGGGAACGTAACGCCTATGGTCCACTAACTCTGTCATTCTTATGTATTTAGCTGGGACTCTCTCTCTTTTTTGCAACTCCATGTACTGTTTAGGCAGCTCACAGTTATGCCTGTGATAAGAGTGAGCCTTTCCAGCAGCAAATTTAAAGGAACACTGACAGGGTTATTGACTAAAATGAGAATCCAAAGTGAATATAAAATTTGAGTCCAAAGTCGCAAAACTGACTTAGCTGACTTCACGTTTCCAGTTCAGCTATTTTTATTTTGAATTTGAAATTCTCTTTTAAATTCCCACTTTTGTGAATAAACCTAGGAGGCGGGTGAACCTGTATCCCTTTAGTGTCCCTGTCTTTAGTTAAACAGGTTCTCCCCCACCCTTGTGTGCCATAAAAATAATAAAATAAGGTTTCTTACTTACCTTTTTCCAGTGCTGAGTCTCCCTCGGCGCTGCTTATCTCTCTGCCTCTCGTTAAGTGATGGAGGAGGCATGGCTTCTTCTGGCAAGTCTCCAATCCAATGCTCCTTACAGAGGAGCATAAGGCACTGATGCACATGAGTGGAAAGCACTGAGCCCAGCTCCAAGTCTTCCCTATAAGAAAGCATTGAATTCAATGCTTTTGTAGGGGGGGCTGCAACGTCACGTGACCAGGTTTTACTCTGTAGTTGCAGCAGAGGCTCCTCTAGTGGCTGTCAGTATGTGTTTAACCCTTCAAAATAAACAGTGCCATTTCTGCATTGTTAGGAAATCTGCATCAAGGCCAATTCATTGAGATGAAGTGACCTGGGTGACTTTAGTGCTTTGTAGGGAGGAGACATTGTATATAGATAGTAGGTCCTAGTCAATGTCTTTTCAGTCTCTCTCTGCTATATTTTTCCTAGCATTTTGCCTTCTTAGCTTTTCTCCATACAAAGATACTATACAACTTTTAAAAGTGTGGGAAACCCACTATTATGCTTTTACTTTATTAGCAAATCATTTTTGTTGTTTGGTGATTTTAGCCTGTTGGTGTATATACAGGCACTTGTTGCCTACTGTACATCTTTTTATTATAGCGTTTGCCATCTTTTAGAAACACTGTGTGTTGTGTGTTCATTTCAAGGAATTCTGGGATTACTTTATAGTTTATTTCTAATTTGTCATTTAAATTATTTGAAAGTTTTTATAAATTTCACCCTTCTCCCATCTGTATACGTGAACCATAGGCCAGTTGGGAATAGATCTGGATTTTGTCCTACTTGTTTCAATGATTGAAAGTTGTTAATTATTGTCATTCTTTAGACTTTAAAATAAAAGACCTCTTTGTCATCTTAACATTCTTGAAAGGTCTCGTCAAGTACTCTCATAGCAATCAAAAAGTACTGGGATATAGTTCAGGAGCAACAAATTTTAGGTTGCTATAACCCAAGACAATTCTAGAGATATTGGAATAACGTTTCAATGACTAGATAACGTTACGAGAGGATTAGCTATCACGTGATGTAACAATGTAGACAAGATCAATGAATTGGGGAAGAAAGGCATAAATAACTGGAGTAGCAGAGAAAAGAAAGCATTACATCTTTTTGTTTTCTGTTAGTAGTCACACACATTTTAAGAGGTCGGGCAGACAATGAGAACAGTGATTCTATGCCATTCTGGATGTTTGACAGAGTAAATTGGCAGGATGTGTAGGCAACAGGTAAACGAGACAGTAAACCACAACAGAAAAAGGGCTTTCCAAAAAGAACTGGTGAGGTATGACCAATTTGAAATCAAAGTAAGGACACATCTACACCAACATCTTGACGTGAGACAAAGCCAAACATTTCTTAAACAAGGTGACTGATTCAGAGCTGGTTAGTTTATTGTTTAGTCTCCTGGAATAGGTCAGAATGCTTATCATATGTGTCCCAATCCATGTCCTACGTCACAGGTGTCTAGGGCTGGAAATACATCAGTCATCGAGGTGACATTTGCTTAAGGACAGGAAACAAAAATTTCAACTTTGTAGATTATATTTTATTATTTTAACAGCTAATGGTCTGTACCCCCTCATGGAGAGGTGTGTTGTAATCCCTTTATTTTATTAATTTTAAAATGCTAAGTGGTAAACTTCAATATCACTCAATTAAAGTTAAGACCCACATCTGCCAAATTTTTCTAGTTGAAGATAGAAGATTTGGATCTGTTTATCAGCTGATATTAACCCCTTCAGGACCGAGGACGGTTCAGGACTGTCATCGGCATTTTTGCGTTGCCGACCGGTGACAGTCCTGAACCGTCCTAACGGTGCAATGTACTTATCCGATCGCCGTCGTTCCCCCGGCGGCGATCGCCGTTGCTCCCGGTGTGGGGAGACTGCCTGCAGCCCAGACAGTCTCCCCACGGCGGATTAGGACCGCTGGGGCCATGTGATCGCTCAACAGCGATAGGTGTCCATGTGTCTGCCTGCAGGGGAATTGCCTGTGCTGACAGGTTTTTCAAGTAAAAGTAAAAAAACATGTATTTTTTAAATTTTTTTATCATTTTTAAAAAAAATTTTTTAAATGAAATTACATGAGATTATATAAATAATGGTATGTAAAGAAAGCCCCCTATGTCCTGAAAAAAACAATATATAATTTGTATGGGAACAGTAAATGAGAGAGCGAAAAATTACAGCTAAACACAAACACCACAAAAGTGTAAAAAGAGGCCTGGTCGCACAAATATGTACACGTGGGGTGTTATTCAGAGATTTATGACAGATAATAGTGTTACAATGTCACTATTGATACATTTTAAAAATGTATGTTTTGAAACCGCAATATCCTACTTGTACCTGTAGCCCTATAACTTGCAAAAAAGCATGTAAACACTGGGTATTTTTAAACTTATGACAACATTTTGAATCTATTTAGTAGTTTTTTTCATTCACTTTTGTAGATGAGTAAAAGATTTTTCATGTAAAAGTAAAAAAACTTATTTTTTTCAATTTTTTATCATTTTTTTATTTGTTTTTTAATTAAATGAGATTATATAAATAATGGTATGTAAAGAAAGCCCCTTTTGTCCTGAAAAAAACAATATATAACTTGTATGGGAACAGTAAATGAGAGAGCGGAAAATTACAGCTAAACACAAACACCACAAAAGTGTAAAAAGAGGCCTGGTCGCAAATGTACAACATCGCAAAAACAGTCCAGTCCTTAAGGGGTTAACTGAGATTCAGCTTCAATTTAAAAAAAAACAAAAACAACATTAACAGGGTTTTTCAGAAATGTCTGAATGCTTCCTATCCTGGTGTGCAAGAATCATTCAGATCCATCCAGGAACATGATAAGATTGCAAAATACATTGCGAAATACATTGCAAAATACATTGTTCACAAGATTTAGCAATGTTCAGAGCTTGCTAAATAGCATTTGAATGGACTTGAATGTCCACCCGATTTCAACCTATCTGTATGCAACCTGACTTTTAAAACTCCACAATACTTGGCCACTGTCATGACAAGCAGCTAAAAAAGTTAAAATAAATTTAAAAACATGTAATTCAAATGCAATAATAAAAAAACCTATGGAGGTCTATATGACCTCTTTATAATTCATGGTAGGATAAAATCCTCCCTTGAACACTACTTGACATGCATTAGTGATGGGATGTAGCCTTTAAAAGTATAGGTGAAGTGCTACCAACCCACGGTGTTTCACCTATCATGGGGGGCCACAGAGCCTGCTGCCTTAGGTTCCCCCTTAGGAGGGTAGCAAAAGTTGGGCAGTGAGCGAGCTCTGATCTATATTTACCCTGGCAGCAAAGGTCCCTCACGTGCACCGTGGTAATGTCAAGAGCCAGAATATGACATCACTATTGAGAGCACGAAAATCAGAGCAGCTCCAGTAGACACCAGGCAGAAGGCCCACACCAGCTCTCCCAAAAGTAAGGAGGCTGGGTGGGCCTCAAAAAGAGTATGTGTGCAAGAATGTGTCAGTGAATGTGTGTCAGTGAGCGTATGTCAATGTGTATCAGTGAGAGTATGTGTCTGTCATGCCATGTGTGCTGGTTAAACATTGGCTAATCCAATGAGTGTGTGCTTAAGAGGATGAAAACGTTTCATTAAAAAAACATTAATTTCACTCAATTCATGTGATTTATTGTAATAGGCATATATGTGTGTGTGTGTGTGTGTACATATAGGGTATATATATATATAATGTGTAGATGCACACAGTATTACATCTATACAATATGCAAGCAGTAATGCTATAAAATGTACATAGTTACATTGGCTCAAGAAAAGACTTGGGTCCATTAAAGGGACACTGTAGGCACCCAGACCACCTCAGCTCATTGAAATGGTCTGGGTGCAATGTCCCTCTGAGGGTTAACTCCTCCTCTAGTTGCTGCCTACCAAACAACCACTAGAGGGACTTCCAGAATCAAAATGGACCTTTGGTCCATTATCTGACATTCTCTCTGCATGAGGACCTCCAGCATCAGATTTTTGGAGCATTAGGTCTCCCACACCGGCTGACGTCAGCAGGGGAGAAGTGGGGGTGGAGCCTGACTCAGCGCTGAGTGACATCGGAGCTGGATTCAGGTAAGTGACTGAACAGGTTGTTTTTTTTTTTTTTTTTTTTTGGGTCGTGCAGATATGCGTACAAGAAGAGACAGTAACATTGTGTGTGAAACAAGACATAATACAGACTGATTAGGAACAATTAATGTCATGCTTTAAAGGGTGTAGAGAGTCTGGTGGAATACCCAGCGTCCCTAGTAGTGTTGTCGCCCCCTGCAGGTTTTTGATTGGGTAAGAGGTTTCTCCATGGTGTACCATCAGGGTGTGGGACATGTGCCATCTGTATGTTATATTACGTGTGCACAGGAAGAAGGTAAATGGTTGGAGGGACCTCCGCCATGCCATGGTGCCCCTGTGAGATCTGCATAAAAGGTGAGGTTCATGCCCACAAAGGAGTATGGGGACAGACCTCTAATTGCATTTAGGACTGCGGCCTTGTCTTGCCTGCTCTGGAATCTCACAATCAGGTCCGAGGGTGCTGTAGCTGGGGCTTTCGCTGGTTTAGGGATCCTGAACATGCCGTCAAGGTTTACTGATTTTGCCTGTTTGGGGGTCAAAGTTGCACCCATCAGGCATCGCAAGAGATGCGGTAATTCCGCCTCAGGAACTGTGTCTGGTAGGCCACGGATCTTGAGGTTCTTGCTGCGCCAAGCATTCTTCAGTGCCGCAATCCTTTGCTCAAAGGCATGATGATTCTGCTGTTGCAGAGACTGCATCTCTCGTTGCAGGTGTGCCACCTGTTGTATACTGCTTCTTGATTCTTGCTCTAAGGCTCCCATGCGTCCGGTCAGACCCCTTATATCTTTCCTGATATCAGCCACGTCGGCCTGCATGATGGCCTTTGTGACCAGGGACGAATCTGGCTGAGGCAGTGTCGGCACAGTCCCTGGCGGAGTAGGAAGGTATTGTACCTCTTATCCCAGCATGGGATCATCAGAGATGTTTCATTCTTCATCGAGGTAAGCAGCAGTCTTGTGATCAAGGCCACCACGTGCTTGCCTCTAGAGATTGCCGATACTTTTTCACGATCTAGGCGGTTCTAGCCTCTATTTTTTTGCCTTCTGCCCATCTTGATGTAGCCAGTCGGGACAGATAAGTGCCAATCAAAATTGTTGGGTAAAAATAGCGAAATTAGGGGTAAAGTAGCAGATTTTCCCAGAGCTCATCAAGGTTGCGACTGTTCAGCTTAGCTGCTCGGCTCCACCCCATGAACAGGTTTTAACCCCTTCAGCACCGTGGGAGGGGGGCACTGCAGGATTCCATAGTGCCAAGAAAACAGGTTTGTTTTCCTGGCACTATAGAATCCCCTTAAGTTCAAGAAAGTGTGTATGCTTAAAAGAATAAAAATGTTTAATTTAAAAATAATTTCACTTAATTATTATGATTTTATGTGTGCATGTTTTAATATGTGTGCATGATTTATTAATAAATGTGTATAGATTTTAAATAAAAGCACTTTAAATATATAGATCCTCTGCCATCTGTTAATGGAAATCTCAACACTAGACATGTGCCAGATGGTCTAATGCCTTAGATTTAGTGACAGGCAGTTCTCTTGCTCCTTGTTACTGTGTAAATCCCACTGCGGGTGTTTTTCACGCTTGCTGGGAGAGTATGGGATGCACCGATGCCAATATGCTGGCAGTGAAGCTAACATTTTAGCATCAGCATGGGGATTGCCTAATCACTCTAAACTCACACATATTCACATTCCATATACAATCACACTGAGCCAACTTCACACAGAATCAAACTCAGCCAATCACTGCACAAACTCGGTCACCCACACATCTCACCAATATATATAGCACTGAGCCAAAAAAACACAATCATACTCAGCCAAGCACCAAACAGAATCAAACTCAGTCAACCACTGCACAAACTCAGCCACCCACACACCCCGCTCAGGTCAATTACAAAAAAGGAGAAAGGTGGGGCGATAAGGTTTTTTTTTTTTATTCTTACATTAAACCTAGTTACTCCTCTTCAGATGGACCTGTCTCTGGTGCTCCATGCTCCTTTGCATGGGTTGAAAGTGACTATGTTATACTAAAGGTGGGACATGCCGATGGACAGTGGTTGGGGCAGATTATTGCTAGAAAGGGGGACCTACGGTTGTCCCTCTCCACCTATTAGCGGTGGGTGGGGGTTATTATTATAATAAATGGGGGGGGATATAAAAGAGAGGCATATATATTGGTAAGCTTTGAGGCTACAGGGAACAACTATCATGTCCCTCCTGTATTTTAGTACTACTCACACCCACTGCTATTGGGTGGGGCGAACAATGACAGGTTCCCCCTCTAGCAACAATCTGCCCTTACGTGATCAAAGAGACGATTACTAAATATTAATGTAACCATATTTTTTGTTGTAAAATAAATCTAACCATTTCTTTTTTTTTTTGATCAGGTGGATCAGGATATATCATCTTGTATATATTTTTGGGGAATCATTATCACTTTACATGGACATACCACAATGTCAGGTAAATAACAGGTATGGCATCTTTCGTGGATGTAACCTCACTGGAATTCCTCTTGTACAAACCGATATTGGAATCCTTGATTTAGGTTCCAACTACATTTTGGAAATAAATGCGTCATCTTTTCCTTTTCTGGAAAAATTATTTAAACTTCAAATTGACAGTCAAAAAAATGAGAAACTAACAATCCGAAACCACAGCTTTCGAAACTTGCCGGGACTAATTGAATTGGATCTATCATATAACCGAATGCTCATACTGGATTCAGAAGCCTTTGCAGGTTTGTCATACTTGCAAAATCTCTTACTGTACTACAACAATTTGACAGGATCAATTTTGGAAAATGATTATTTTAAAGATTTGAAATCTTTGGAGTACCTAGATCTTTCTAGTAACGCAATATCGTATCTGAAACCCAATCCATTATTTTATTATCTTCACAACTTTCATCTACTGACATTAAAATACAATCACATCTCACGTATTTGTGAAGGTGACCTTCATAGCTTTGAAAGAAAAATGTTTACTGTCATGGATTTATCAAATAATAGGTTACACGAATCAGGTCCCGATGTCTGGAAGAGTTGCGGAAAACCTTTCAGGAATATTCAGTTTGATACCCTATTGCTCGGTAGCAATGGATTGAATGTGGACTCATTACAAAGTATTACCAGTGCTTTGAATGGAACCAAAATAATGCATTTAAAGTTGGCACATCACATAATGGGAGCCAGTTTTGGTTTTCATAACCTTAAAGATCCAGATAATACCACATTTACAGCCTTAGTGAACAGTGATCTGCAAATTCTTGATATATCTGATGGAAGCATTTTTTCTCTAAACCCGTATACATTTGCAAATCTTTCTCAACTTTTACTGCTGAATCTTGCTGAAAATAAAATAAACCGCATAAATATGTATGCATTTCATGGACTTAACAGCCTCCTTCATCTTAACCTTTCCAACAATTTACTTGGAGAACTATATGAGTACACATTTGATGGACTTCCAAATGTAATACACATTTATTTGCAACAAAATCACATTGGAGCAATTCGTGATGCCGCTTTCAAGCAACTTACAAAATTGGAACTTTTGGATCTCCAAGATAATGCAATTAAACAAATTAGGTTCTGTGAACAAATAAATTACGTACAAGTAATGTACATTGGCAGAAATAGGTTAAAAGCAGTTGGCCAGACATATGTGAATACAACCTACTTTGACGCTACACAAAATAATCTGGAGAATTTGGGAGAACTGTATTGGCTTTCAAATATTCCACAAATTAAAGGTATAATCTTAAATCAGAATAGGCTGTCTTATTGCTACCCTTTTTTTAATATTTCCAAAACAAATTCCTTGATCTACCTGGACCTATCTGAAAACATGATACAGTTAATATGGGAAAAGGGTCAATGCTTAGATGTTTTCCATCACCTTTCTAGGTTGAAAGTACTAATTCTTTATGGGAACCACTTTGCTTTTATTCCAGATGGCATATTCAATGGATTATCATCTTTAAAAAACCTTAATTTGTCTCATAACTCTCTCACTTATATTTCAAATGGAATATTTCCTTTAAGTCTGGAAAAACTGGATTTGTCCAATAACCAGTTGCTTTCACCGAGTCCAGAATTATTTACCTCCATCCAGTCACTTGACATAACAAAAAATAATTTTATATGTGATTGCACACTAGTGAGCTTCATAATGTGGCTAAATGAGACAAACACAACCCTTTTAGGCTCTCCTAATGACATTTATTGTATGTTTCCTACAAACTTCCTATATCAACCACTTCATAAATTGAATGTTGACGGCTGTGATGAAGATCTTGTGTTGCTGCCACTTAGATTTTCTCTCTTTGTCTTTACAACTTTGATTATTGCTATTTCTGTGACATCAACAATAGTCTATAATCATTTCAGAGGAACTTGTTTTGGCCTGTTCAGGAGAATCACAACATCAGTGTTGGGTGGACCAAAGTCTGAAGGCTCATTAGAAATGCACCAGTATGATGCTTACTTGTGTTACAGTAAAAAGGATTTCCAGTGGGTGCAAAACTCTTTCCTTGAAAACCTTGACTCCCATTATTGTGAAAGGAACCGCTTCCATTTGTGCTTTGAAGAAAGAGATTTTGTTCCGGGTGAAGATCATATTATGAATATCCGTCAAGCCATCTGGAACAGTAGAAAAACCATCTGTATTGTGTCAAAGCACTTCCTTAAGGATGGCTGGTGCATCGAAGCTTTTAACTGTGCTCAAAGTAGATACTTTACAGAACTAAAAGATGTGCTTATTATGGTCGTTGTGGGGACATTATCTTCATTCCAACTAAAGAGATATGAACCTATTCGAGCTTTTGTGCAGAGGAGTCAGTATATGAAATGGCCAGAAGACTCCCAAGATGTAGACTGGTTTCTTGGTAGACTTTCCTATAAAATCCTTAAAGAGCAAAATGTAAAGAAACAGGCAAAAGTAACAAAAATAGCATCTACTCTGGAACTGCGAGCTGTAGCAACAGTTTCATAAGCCCCATAGTATGGTTCTATAATCCATGCAGCTTTTACTATGTTCCTGGTTTGCCAAAATGTGAACATGCAAATTTAGTAGGATATAGAAGAAATGTTTAAATGTAGCTTTAATGTTGCTTTTCTTTTTGAATTCAAAAAGAAGTACCAAAGAAATATGTTTGTTTCTCTCATGTATTAGTGAGCTTAAAGGTACTGCTGCTTTAATAAATTGGTAACAAAAACAGTAGAATTTTCTGCTAAACTTGGAATCGTAGAAAAGTAATTTGATAACTGGAGGAAAAATGGCTAATCTGTACAAACCTTTGATTATTATTATTATTATTTTTTAAATCTCAGCTATCCTCTTGCTTTAGTAAGAGTACAATATATGATTTTCATTCAAGCATCTAGTTACTGTCAGTGTTCTGTTACGTTCTTTATGTATTTTTAACAAGTTGTGTATATGTTGATGACATTTGTTATGAAGCTTATTGCTATTTTTAAATTAATACCTCAGTTGTTGCCATTTCTATTTTATCATTATTAATTTCAAAGTACTTATAAATCCTGAAAGTTAAAGGGTAACTCTGTGTCTAAAATTTGCACATAGATTTTTTATGCATAATTAAAGGCATACTATAGTCACAGGGTTAAAGGACCACTCTAGGCACCCAGACCACTTCAGCTTAATGAAGTGGTCTGGGTGCCAGGTCCAGCTAGGGTTAACCCATTTTTTTATAAACATAGCAGTTTCAGAGAAACTGCTATGTTTATAAATGGGTTAATCATTCCCCCAAAGCCTCTAGTGGCTGTCTCATTGAAAATCACAGTGAGAGCACGCAAGCGTCCATAGGAAAGCATTGATAATGCTTTCCTATGCGACCGGATGAATGCGTGCAAAGCTCTTGCCGCGCGTACGTATTCAGCCGACGGGGAGGAGAGGAGGAGGATCGGAGGAGGAGAGCTCCCCGCCCAGCGCTGGAAAAAGGTTTTACCCCTTTTCCCCTTTCCAGAGCCGGGCGGGAGGGGGACCCTGAGGGTGGGGGCACCCTCAGGGCACTATAGTGCCAGGAAAACGAGTATGTTTTCCTGGCACTATAGTGGTCCTTTAATGAAGCGGTTTTGGTGTATGGATCATGCCCCTGCTGTCTCACTGCTGAATTCTCTGCCATTCAGGAGTTAAATAACTTTGTTTATGCAGCCACACCTCCCTGCCTATGACTTACACAATCTTCTTAAACACTTCCTGTAAAGAGTCATCAAATGTTTACTCCTTTATTGCAAATTCTGTTTAATTTATCTTCTGCTCTGTTAATAGGTTTCTAGACCTTACAGGAGTCTCCTGCATGTGAATAAAGTTCAATTTACAGAGTAGGAGATTAAAACGTTTAAAGTAAGGTAACAACTGATTTGAAAACAAAAGCATTTTTTTTCATGCAGGCTGTGTTAGCCACAGCCAGGGGAGGTGTAGTTAGGGTTGCATAAACAGAAACCTAAGTGATTTAACTCCTAAATGGCAGACAATTGAGCAGTGAAACTTCAGAGGCTTGACTATACACAAAAACTGCTTCATTAAGCTAAATGTGTTTTGGTGACTATAGTGTCCCTTTAATTGTTCCAAAATATGCATTTATAATAAATTCTGCAAATATTATCTAAGACCTATACATGTACCTTTCAATAGCTGCAGAACTGGTCTCTTTAGATAAAGAATGTCAACCACATTTTTGCCATACACCTACTGAAATCTTAGGGTTGGGCATTATCCAATCAAATGACTGTCATAGAGAAGCACTGATACCAAATCTATATTGCAAAACTTATCATAGAAATAGGTGGGGCTTTTTTTTTTAGATTTAGAGATTAGTATACAAAAGGGTATGACATATAGTCAAGCAGGGCGGGTAGCTACTTTCATGGGACAAACATTCTCCATTCGTTATTTAACCATTCTTACATAGTTAAACACTGAATGATGGTGCATGGATGCCCACAGCTTACCCCACACTGGAGGGGTGGCTAAGGCAGATATTTCATTCTTCCTTAACATAACAACAAGGGGGTAGCTATAATAGGTTGAAAGAAGAAAGTTGACCCTCTAAGCCAATCACTGCCACCCCGTCATTCTAATAGTCTGATCCTTCAAGACCATGCTCTAATCCTTCTGATTTAGCGTTAGCTGGTTTATGTGAAAATGTCTTTGCTAAACAAGAAGGACATTCCATAATTTTAGTGTTGAAAGATCAAACTGTGACGGGTTATCCTAAAGGAATTAACATTTAGTGATTCTTCAAACAATGCAAATTCTAATCTTACCATTTCAGGTTTATATGTTTGTGCAACATGAAAAAAAGTTCAAGATTTGGTTTGAAATGTTAATTTTTTTTATTTTACCTGGGAAAAACTGTATTAATTAGTAAAACATTCACTGTCCTTATGTTAGAATTGTTTTACAGAGCTCAGCAGTATTAAGGTATTTTTAAAACACCACTAATTTTACTATCCATTGTAGGCTTCGCATATTCAAGTATATCTTTCATGAAAATGCTACGTGTTATATGTTAAGCGAACCAATATTCTACCTAATGTAAATATTACATTTTATATTATGCTGCCACGTGCATACTTGAATTTGAATTCGTACCTAGAGGGGTATACATAGTGCCTCCATGTTTGGAAAAATAATTGTAAAAATGAAGTGTGTTAAAATTCACAACATGATAGCTTTATCTAATTTCTCATAGTTAAGCTTTAACTACCAAAAAAATCAATAGTGCAAATTTAATTGGACTACTGCAATACTTACGAATTTGCATGTAAAATACTGCCAAATAGTATAAAGACAGTAGTTTTATAACAAGATCTCATTTATTAAATAGTTTTTATTTATAGATTTGTGTAGATATTAAATATGCTAGCATCTTACTAACAAAGTATGCCAGTAACATGTGTACTAGTGCTGAGTGCAAACAAGCAATCATTATATGTTATGGGATTTGTTTGGCGCTTGTCCTAATATTTAAAACAAGGTTTTTTTAATGTTTCATGGGATTTCAATAATGAGACCAGAAAGCAAACCATAGAGTTGATTCTATATATTACTAAGCCTCTCAACCATCCCGATTTCAGTGGAATAGCCATGGTTTTCGGGTCTTGTCCCTCTGTCCCGGTGTTGTTCCCTGGTGTGCCACTTTTGGGGGAACTGTTCCTGACAATCATTAGACATGCCTGCGCTACGCCACGGCATTAGAACCCTGCAGACAGCACTGAAACAGCGCTCCCTGCATGATACACGCCTGGTTGGTCACCCTATGTGATGGGCAGGCAGCATTGGCTGTAGGTTGACTTGTCATTTTATAGACGGTCCTGCCCTGTTTCTGTGTGGGTCCAACTTCTTTGGGCAGAGCCAGTTACTGACCTTTTTACACTCCCACCAGAGTCCAGCTTCACAGGGCGCCGTAGTTGGGAGGTAAGCATTATTGGTGTTTGGTGTCGTAATGTACAAGCGAAATTCAATAACCTGAAAGAGACACAAAGGGTTATTTACTTAAGCGAGAATTCCAAGTGAATTCAAAGAGAATTTTCTCTCTTTAGTGAATAACCTTGACAATCATCCACACATTTTTCTAATTCCATACAAATATTTCTACATTAGAAGACGAAACATATACGTATTCATTTCTATTATTTAAATGGACACAATATGCTTTAGTGGTCACATTTTAAATGCTTTATAAAGGTAAACCATACAAATATGGAGAGAATAAATTTTAAAAATACCATACTAAAACTGCAAACCTGCTCAGACATATGTGTACTGCAAGCAGACTACTCCAAAACCGAGAGGAGGCTCTATCAATCAGGGTTTTTTTTGTTCCTTATCCCATGTCCGACAGGAGTTTGTGGAATACGTAGTTTAGCCTCCAGTTGACGTTCCACTCAGCAAATAAGATCAGTGAAATGGCCAAATAAACTGATAAAAACCCCACTGACACTTTTAATTTTTTATTCATGGCCAAATTCAAAGTTTTGCAGCTATAAACCACACTAAGCAGAGAGACAGAGCACTTCTTCATTCAAGTTATTACATTATGATGCTTAGAGTGAACTTTTAGGTGATCCATTGCTTTATCTTGGGGGATATGATAGAAACATTTAAATATATAAAGGGAATCAACACAGTAAAGGAGGAGACTGTATTTAAAAGAAGAAAAACTACCACAACAAGAGGACATAGTCTTAAATTAGAGGGACAAAGGTTTAAAAATAATATCAGGAAGTATTACTTTACTGAGAGGGTAGTGGATGCATGGAATAGCCTTCCAGCTGAAGTGGTAGAGGTTAACACAGTAAAGGAGTTTAAGCATGCGTGGGATAGGCATAAGGCTATCCTAACTATAAGATAAGGCTAGGGACTAATGAAAGTATTTAGAAAATTGGGCAGACTGGATGGGCCGTCACATTCTACGGTTCTTATCTGCCGTCACATTCTATGTTTCTATGTGACTATTCCATTGCTAACCTGTAAAACACAGGTCTCCATTCCACCCACATCCTGTTGGCTGTGGTGTTTACTAGAAAAACTGCTAAACCCTGCATTAACCAGCAGCACCTTTGCTATGGTCCTCCATATTGCAGTATGTTCCAGGACATGTTGAATCATTTGGCCCCTTTAATCACCCTCATTAGAATGCCAGACAGATGCACAGTTCCTTTGGTAATACATAACGACTGTCCCCGGTTCTTAGAATCCCTAGGGAATAGCTACAATTCTACACTAGGTATTAGTATACTAGAGGCTACATTCTTATGTGCTATAACGACAAGGCTGTGTGTCATTGCCTTGAAATTTCAACCCATATGGCAGTAATGCTGCCTGGTTTGCATGGTTTAAGATTGGCACTATCTTTTGTGAAGTTAACTGCTGAGTCTAAATCAGGACAGTTAACAGTTATGACATTTATTGAATTCAGGTATTGTGTATTGTGCATGAAAATTATGAGTGTAAATTGAGCCTCCTTACTATCTTATAATTTTTTTGGGCAAACATAAAATGACCTTGAATATATTTCTTTAGGTAGGGTGAACTGACGAAGAGCAGAGATTAGATTATTTCCAATTTTAGAAACCTGTTTCTGGTATCAACTTTTTGTAAAAATCTGTTTGTGTGTTTTGTTAGGGTGTCTGTTACAAATATCAGCAACATAAAGTACATATTTTTAAATAAGCTACTTTGAAAAATGAAAACATGATTTATTGTTAGTAACGTATTATACAATGTAATGTGTCATTAAAGACCTTCAGCTCTTATTATTTTCTGTGTTTAAGATATGTGAATAGTAAATGTGTCTGTCTGTTTATCCTGAATGAAGATTCTTGCACAGTGATGGCTAAACATGGTACAAAATGTGATTGTAATCTGATTAGTCCAAGGCGCTCTATCACTTTGGCTGACTGGATGTCATGGGATATGTAGTCCTCAAAATATCTCAAGTGTCAGAGTTAGCCATCACTGCACAAGGGGCTGCCTGGAAGGGTAGATTATTGCACTGTATATCATAAAAAAATCCTGTTGTGTATTACTTATGTCACAATACTTCAATAAATTGTATTTTTATATAACAGGCTAGTTTGTCATCATTGTTTCTTCCAATGTTTAACTCAACAACATAATTTTAAACTCTTATGGTCTATTAATAAACGTTAAAGGTAAACTGTCATCTCTATAGCATTTACACCATTGAAGATCACTGTCACCGTTTGAAGATCACCGTTTTTTCATGCGTAGATCGTTTTTCATTAGCATTCATTAGTTTTTCAGCGGCACTCTCTGCATGGTCCTGCAAATAGGGGGCTGGCCAGGAGGCTGTTTGTCAGTCTGGTGTGCTTGAACCCAAACTGACACACTCCCTTCAGTTAGCAGACATGCCCACATTCTTGCCCACATTGCATGCCAGGCCCACCCATTGTGGTCATCGCCATTAACACCCCCTAGAAGACCGGCCCATCGCTCCTTATTGCATACACCCAAAAAACATGAGATGCCATCCAGATATTTCTAACTGAATGGCATCTCACTTCTCCAAAACAGAAGTTCCCTCCAACACCGTTACTCAAGTCACAGACACACCCAATATGTGAGAAGTTACTTAGTGCAGCAGTTACAGGTTTCCTTCTCCCAGGATTTCCCAGTCCTGAAAAACAAAGATAGAGGAACAGATATATGGACACACAGCACACCTATAGTAAGGGAACCAAAAATAGTATAATACTGTTTAGGTGATCACCTCCTACTGTGATAGAATACTTGCATTTGCAGACTGAGCTGTTACTCATGTGTCTGTATCCCTCTATATCAATGGCACTACCATCAGCTTTATCTCACAGGCTCTCTGCATTGGCCTTTGCATCAATTCCAACCTCTCCTTCACCCCTCACATCGAGTCAATCGACAAATCCTGTTGCTTCCATCTCAAAAACATAGCTCACACCTATCGTACCTAACACCAGATGCAGCAAAGGTGCTCGCACATGCTACTATCATCTCCCTCCTTGACTACTGCAATCAGATTCTCACTGGTTGTGCATGCTCCCAGCTCACCCCGCTACAATCCATAATGAATGCTGCAACAAGGCTTATATTCCTGTCTTCCCACACCTCCCCCTTCTGTTAGTCCTTACACTGACTTCCCAAAAAATATGTCACAATTTAAAATTCTGGTCCTTGCTTACCAATCTCTTCATACCACTGTTCCGGTCTACTTATCCTCACCCATATACAAAGTATGTCCCATTCAGGTCTCTATTGAAGACCCTATGGTGGAACTAATGTAGAGAGGGCCCTGGTGTAAAAAAGTTTTTTGGCCCCCACTCTAGCGCAAGGGTGGCCAAAAGGTAAATCTTCATTTGTTGCACAACACAATGCAATGCCAGCCAAATATCTACCCTTTGCCTTTCCTTGTTGTATTTAATTATATTTTTGTATGGAATATGTGTGCATGCAGGGGTGTTTGTATATACTGTTGCCATTGGAATACAGTGGTGTACTTTTATGTATTGTTTGTGTTTGCACATAGTGCTGACTTTTAAATGCAGGTGTACTTTTGGTTGCAAGGGCGTGTTTACATGTATTGTTGGCGTTTGATTGCTGGGATGTTTGTTTCAGGAAACATTCTCTGACTGGCTTTGGTGGGATTTGAACCTCTGTTTCTCTATCTCTACCACTCTCTCTTTGACCATTCTCTTTTACGTTAAGTCCGGCCATTCTAAAGTCCGGAATACGTTGTTTGTGTTAATATAGTTCTGCATGTTGGGTCACACAGTGATCGTGACAGTGTTCTAAATAGGGCAGCTCCAGGCAGCTGTCATGCGAGCCCCAGGAACTGTGCTTAGAACTCTATAATGTACAGCTACCTGAGGCTACACAGAGTTTACTGTCTAACTTAGACGGAAATGAGAGTAAGGAACAGGAATGGAGATAAGGCTTGGGAGGGAAAAGAAACTGATTCTGGGACTGGGGAGGAAAGTATGGATACCAGTGCAATAAGTGGGGGAACCAAATTGTAGGAAAGAAGGGGGAACAAGGAGAGAAGAGGAGGGAGTAGATATGGGAAAGCAGTGGCAGGTGAAACAAAGAATATCAGAGAAGAAAGGGAGCAAAACTAATGGCGCCATGTTGTTTTAAAGGTAAAAAGCGGGAGTTGGGAGTTCATCCAAGGAGCTGGAATACCAGCAGTGAGCTGTGTCTGGGAGGGTGTCCAGGGAGCAAGACATGACCTACTAACTGCTATTTATGCAACTTGATTAATGCTATGTAGAACAAGAAGCAGCATGGCTGGTTTATAAACATGCTTTGCCATTTCACAGCAGGTTACTGTGGGTTTTAGCTCTGTGAAAAGAGACTAAATTATAAAAGAGAGAATTCACAGAATTAAATTGGAACATATGGTACTGATGTTAGAGCCCTGTTAAAAAAGAAAATACTCGAGCCGAGCAAGCCGGACGCTCATGGTGGGAGCTCCCGCATCGGAAGCCTTGATTCAGGGCTTTACGCCCGACCACCGGATCGTGCCGGCAGCGGACAACCACCCTCGTATCCAGGAGGGAAGGCTGAGTCCGGAGACACCCGATTCGGGGCTCTCCGCCGCGGGAAAGCCCTCATCACAACCCGCGGCCTGCACGGGTGGGAGCCGTGGAGAGACGGCCGCTCTCCCGGTTCTCAGGCTGAAGAGGGGACACTCACGCACCACTTCCCCCCCCCCTTTGGACCGGTGGGGGATATCCCGGTCCCCACCAACACGAGAAACAACAAGTCAAGACAACATAGCAGACGCCACTGAACTTCCAAGTAGAATGGAAGCAGGGGCGCCCAAGATGGCGGAGGAGCTCAGCCACACTTCACGTGGCCTGCTGCAGCCACAACACAGCAAAGACAAGCAAACAGCAAAAGGGAGAAAGATGGCGAACCATGGTACAAGCAGCACCCTTGCCACTCCACCCAAACACACCCAGGAGTTCTTTGACCGACTCTGCTCCAGTTTATGGTCACAACTCCGGCATAAGGTTCGGCCCTTTAAAGAAGCAGTCCAAGCAATAGCATTATGGGTCCGACCAGCTACCAGGCGGCAACTTTGTAAGTACCCACAGCGAGCCCCCAGGGCGGCCTCCAGAAGGGGACGAAGGCAGAGAGCAAAGCAACGAATGGCGAGGGATTGCCCCTCAGGCGCCAGCACTCTTCCTCTCAAGCGACCACAAGCGGCGGAGGAGGCCCCCGAACAAACGCCTGCACAGCCCCAGCAAAGCCTCACCTCACACAGACAAGATGGTAACCAAGCTCAAGCGATGGCTCACAACCGGAATTGTACAGCCGCTGCACAGGAGATAACCCCTACACAGAAAGCCTCGGACGGCTCACAGACCTACACTGAAAGCCTGCCGACCTCTGGTATCGGGTAAATGGGGACACTAGCAACAAAATGGCAGTCTGATATGCCACTGTGTACGGTCAAATGACTAACTAGCACCCCTAGTACGGTTCATGCCAACCTACCAAACATTGCGTACACAGGAACACCCAAATCGACTTTGTAGTCACTGTTACTGAACCTTGTTTATTGCATATTTTAAATGTGTACAATTGAAAAAGTTTGCATTGTGATGCGTTAGGCGCTATAAGTTCTCTATCCTTCTGCTTATTCTAACTGAAATGTCTGAGCTTACAGGTATGTCTGTCGCTCTGCTGCTCCCTGGTAGATAAACTTAATTAAGCTGATAGAAATCTGTTATTAATAACGACCTTAACTCGTGTCTTAACGACAAAAAGCAGCTCACTATTTTGTTTTTCACAACGAATGCCGACTTAGATATGTTGAGCGACAGTTATCTTGATGCATTTTACTTAATCTCACGCTGACGATGCAACTGTTTAACCAAACTTGTTAAAATCTTAAAAATGTGCAGACTCTCATGCCACTGTTATACCAATGTATATTTTCCAATACGCTGTTGTGGCGTCTGTTGATTCATTGTACCTACCTGCACAGCAAAAAAAAAAAAAAGCGGGAGTTGGAGGAAAAAAAAAAGATCAACTTTGTTGAGCGGTATGAAGTGCAGCAAAAGGTTAGAAAAAAAGCTCAAGAGAATAAATAAGATGTGGGAAGGATATATACAGGGCCGGCCTTAGGGGTGTGCGAGCTGTGCGACCGCACAGGGCGCCATGGAACAGGGGGCGCCCTGTGGCCGACACAGCTCACTCATGGCCGGGGTGCAGGGGAGCTAAAAGAGGTACCTGGCTGGAGGATTAATTGTTCTCCACCCGGGTCTATTAAAAAAAAAAAAAAAAAAATCGCGGCAGAGGGGGCGGGGTTTACCGAGCGGCGGAGGCGGGGCTTATCGAGAGGCGGAGACGGGGCTAATACCTCCCGAAGCGCCTGCTGTACAGGAAGAGGGAAAGATGCTTCCCCATCAGCCAACTGCATCCACTGGAAAGAGGTAAGTGTGTGTGTGTGACTGTTTGCCTGTCTGTGTGACTGCCTGCCTGTGTGCGTGTGACTGTCTGTGTGTGTGTGTGTGTGTGACTGTCTGTGTGACTGCCTGTCCTTGTGTGTGTGTGTGTGTGTGACTGTCTGTCTCTGTGTGTGTGTGTGACTGTCTCTGTGTGTGACTGCCTGCCTGTGTGTGACTGTCTGTGTGTGTGACTGTCTGTCTGTGTGACTGCCCATGTATGTGACTGCCTGTGTGTGTGACTGTCTGTCTGTGTGACTGCCCGTGTGTGTGACTGCCCGTGTGTGTGACTGCCTGTGTGTGTGAGACTGTCTGTCTGTGTGACTGTCTGTGTGTGTGACTGTCTGTATGTGACTGCCTGCCTGCCTGTGTGTGTCTGTCTGTAACTATCTGTCTGTGTGTGACTGCCTGCCTGTGTGTGTGACTTTCTATCTGTGTGACTGCCTGCCTGTGTGTGTATAACTGTCTATGTGTGTGTTACTGTGTGTCTGTCTGTGTGTGTGACTGCCTATGTGACTGTCTGTCTGTGTGTGTCGCTGTAGCTGTGCCATTGTTTGTGCCTGTGCCTGTGCCTGTATGTGTGACTGCCTTTAACTGAGTGTGTGTGTACATGCCTGTAA